GGGTTGTACATGTTTTAAAAGGTCGTAATATTTACGAATTTACGGAAAAATTTGATTTTAAAATTCTTATAAAACCATAAAAATAAATACTACTCAATTACTCTATTAATAATAAAATTACACTCAATTTTTTGTTTTTTACTACTAAGTACTTCTGTTATTTTCAAGCATTTCTGTTTAGTCTCACAATTTTTTCTACAGAGTACCTATATAGAGCACCTAAATAAAAATACGTAAAAAACTAGCAAAATTAAAATGTCTATAAATAGTAGTGATGAGCACTAACGAATAATCTATCGTATACTATCGAATAATTTATTCGAATAACTTATTCGTTTGTGTTTATATTTTCGTAAATTATTCGAATAATTTAATAGTAGGGTATATCAGCAACCTTGTGATACGCACAGAATGGTGTAATGAGGTACAGGTGTAAAGGTCAGTATCACGTGTTATTCGGTTATTGTATAGATTATAGCGAAGGTAAAATTAAGCCAGCAGCCATGTTTAAAATATTTTCATTACATATTTGTTTTATGTATATTCCTCAGAATCTTTTTTGATTTGTAATGATTGAAACCATCAATATACCTACCTTCCCAAGATTTACTTGTAAAGATATTCTTTATCTTTTTGAAAGATCTTGATACCTTATTGATATCTTGATACCTACCTTATTACTTTATTAAAATCGTACTATAGGTAGTACAATACTCGAATGAAGATTAAAGATTATTTGGATGATTTAAAAACTATCGAATGGATAAAAGTTATTCAAATTAATAAAATATTTTAAATATATATATTTTTATCACTCAGAATCGTTTTTAATTTGTACATTTTTAATGATCATAGATTAAGATATACCTATTAAGGTATATCTAAATTCGTGATAATGATTGAAACCGCCAATATACCTACCCAAGATCTATCTCATAAAATGTTTTATATCTTTTTGATACCTACTTTTATCACCCTATCAAAAATCCTACTATAGGTTGTAGAAAATACAACAAATGCAAATAGCAATACTTGAATAAGATTATTTGGATAAATAATAATTATTCGAAATTATTATTATTATTTAAACTATTGAAGGAATAATTATTCATATAATTCAGTAATGAATTATTCGAAGGGACTATCGAATAATTTGATAGTTATTATTCGTTACCGTCCATCACTATAAATAGCTCCAAATATGGCTGGAATGTTTTGAAAATTTTAAAATTTCTTTCGGATTTTTTTCAGATTATTTCAAAAACCCAGGTGGAAGATTAAAAAATGACAGACAAATATGGTAGAAAAATTGTTCATAGATAGAGTAAAAAACTCACATTATAGTAAAATCAATAGATCCCTCTTTACGCTCTGAATCTAAAAGCACACATCATATTAAAACCAATAGATCCTTCACTATAAATTGTGACAAAAATCTTAAATTAAATTATGAATATAAAAATAAACATATTTTGTATATAGAATTTGTTGAACATTTTGGTATGTAACCGAGAATATATTTTATTAACATTAATTGAAAAGAAAAATTAAATATTTAATGCGGCAGAAGTATAAATTTCTTGTAGGTACTTATTGTATCGCAGTTTCGGAAAGTCAAAAAAGGAAAAAAGTTTTTATTTCAGATAACTACGAACGGGTTTTCTATTGTAGTGAATTATCTGATATTTCGGATACTTGCACTCGCTACTATGAGGCTGGATGCCGGAACACCCGCTATTGTTGACGAAAGCCCATCTGAAATGATAAGGATACATTGAATAATATACTGTTTCTGATAGTGGGCAAGCTATTCAAACGGTCATATTATTATTGTTGAAAACCAAAGAACGAAAGACTATATATTTTTTCACTTCAGAAACATAAAACTCGCGTAGTACCTATTATAGTTATGAATAATGGAATACCTACTACTTTTAATCTAAAAAAAATCCAAAAAAATAAAAACCTTCTTGGACCTACCTTTTTTTCACAGAGTTCCGAAAATTATGAATATTAATAGCAGGCTTTTAAATATTCGTATAATATTTTTGTCAGTGATGGTGGTTTGGTACGTTAACGATGAATCATTATTATTTATTTTATAATGAAAGTATTTTACCGAAATAAATTAAAAAATGCACTAAGAAAAAAAATGCTGATACTTATTACCGATAAATGTGCCACTGTTATAGGTGAGAAATAGGAAAGATATTTATGTAATGATTATTATAGCTGACAAAATATGATTCTGAGTGTAAGTTCGATTAAACATTTTTTTTTTTTTTTACTACTGAGTACAACGAATAATAAACCTCGGTTTAAATTTCAAGCATTTTTGTTCGACATAAGACAAATTAAGTACTAAGAAAAGCTGTCCTAGGATAATGGGGACAGGTGGAACCACTATTGTAGGTGAGAAGTTGGAAAGGTAGGATACAGAAGGGAATTTAATGTTTATCTGTAAACAACGACAAACTATTGTTAACACAAAAACGATTCTCAGAGGAGTTCAGTTGATTGTGATGCTTTGTCAACAATATACATATGTCATTGTATGGTGAAATAATTAAATGGGCATTTACATCTTTAATAATATTTGTTTAATATTAATCAGATTTTTTTAATTTCCTACGTTTTTTCCGGTTTTTTCATGTTTTCTTCAGGGTTTTCACGTTTACTGGAAAAACTCTAGGGAAAAATCGAAAAATTGCCTCTTGAAAGTACCTTCCAAGTCAAATTTCCTTTTAGTAAAGGGTCTATATCGTGAAATTGTCAAACGCCGATATATAGCTTAAAAATTACAGTATGTTTTGAACATTTTATCACGTCTAAAAAAGCCTAATTTAAGTGTTTTGGTAAAACTTTAGGTCTGTAGGATTATTTTTAAGTAAAATTTAAAAAAAATTGTAAAAGAAAAAAAAAATTTGGATTTACCTCCACGAATCTTTTGGATACTTTCATTATTTATAATAAATGTAAACTACAGAAAGAATATTATGTCTTTTGGAAAATTCAATCACCACTCGTATAATATATACTTGCAACACCTGTGTAAGTTTTTAAATTGATACGAACAATGAAACTTTTTGAACGTTATTTCTGTTACTCGTATGTGGTCACAAAAAAAAAAAAAAAAACATAAAACTAGTGCATTGCAATAGTTATTTCCTCTCGATTCGTCCACAAATGACAATAACTTTATGACGTGTTCATCTTAAGTTTTTAGATAAAACTTAAAATATCTAATCGAATTTTTTATTTGTTGTACCTGTCTTTATAGGTTTTTTTATTTTTTTTGTTTCTCTGGGAAAAAAAGTATAAAACAGTTTATATGGATTGTTATCTTACCACCCGTAAATTAAAAACTTTTTTTTGGTTGAAAAACAAACTACTCGAGCTCTACATTTAATTAAGAAAGCAAATTTTCACTATAGAAAAAAAAAAAACTTATACTATGCAACATTAGTTATATTTTCACGGTGTTTCTCGTAGAAAAAAAAAAATTATTATTGAAGAAAATTCAGATAGCCTTCAGTTTTTAAAACTAAAATAATTTTGTCGTATTAGTGATATCGGAATATTAAAACCAACGTCCTACAGAGCACATTCATATTAATTTTTGTAAAAATTTGATTTCTTAACAAGTTCATAGCCCGAGTAGTTTTTTCCCGAGTGAAACGGTTTTTCGTAAATCTTATTATTGCATGATACATATTTATAACAATGACACGGGACATTAGGATTACCACTTAAATATATTTGAAAGCAAATTTCAATAGTTTTATATTGATGACATTTAATTTTTCCAACAGTTTTGAGAAAATTACTTATAAGCAACCCGTTAAATACGGCAGGTAGCATGTAATCTTAAAAGATAATATTTTTTGGTGTAGTTATGTTTAGACACATATCGATATGCTTGATTAAAAACGTATTCAGTAATTTTTTTTCACTTAGCCGTTTTATTCACGTGCAGGAAAAAAAGGTCGGTGACACGCTCTTTTTGTACAGTTGTAAAAGATAATAAATACATTTGAATGCATTTTCAGGGTTGGTATAATATTTGGTTTTAAATTTCATTATCATAATTTAGTACCTATGTAAATTAAACGATATATTATTCTTTTAGAGTTTATATCCCTTAGAATATATTATTATTATCACGCTAAAAATTGAACAACACAATTTATGCTTAAATAAATATTTAAATAAAGCATCTATAATAAATTATATCATTTAGGGTTCGCTATGAAACTGCATTTGTTTTGATTATCAAATTCTAGATTCTCAGCAGAGCAAGGAATGTATTGGTTTTAGAGTGATGTTTTGTGTGAACAACTTTTCTACTAGAAATTATGCTTCAATTTCCATATGAAGCATCTTTTCTGAAAGAATATTTGTGTAGGGTGGTACTTTAAAAATGCCATTTTTTGATTTTCCTATGAATTTTCATAATAAATAGGAAAAACGGAAAATTTAAGAAATATATTATTTCCTAATCGTAAATATTATAGCCTTTTAAAACATGTGTAACTGAACTCCGTTCAGAATTGTTTTTCATTAGTAATGATTAATAGTTGCACACATATATTTATTTAATTTCTCGTCTACCTGTTAAACTTTCCACCTACAACAGTGGCCCACCCATCTATCGTGTGAAATTTGTCTGTTTGTTTTTGGTATTGATTCTACAATAATACAATATTATTCTGATAATTTGTAACAGTTTTAAAAACCCTGAGATATTTCACAACTCACTATATATTATTGTATACCAAAATCGAATAATCGGCCAGTATAAATAGTACAAAAAAGTGCGTTAAAAAAAATATGTAAGTATATAAATTACCTTAAAGTAACTATTTTTTTTTCAGAACATATTTGTGAATAGAGAAAAAATATGTATAGAAAATATGATGGGAGTTAATGGATGTTTCTTTTCATATTTTAAACGTCTAATATTCAGCAACTATTTGAAGAGTCGTTTATTGGAAATTCAAAAGGAAACCTATGTATCGGTAAGTGGTACACAGATACATTTTTAAAATAAACTTGGGAAAAAATTAACGCAAAACCTTCGGAAATTGTCTAAAATGTTTGGAAATTTCACGTGGTGCTCGACGGTACCGATGAAATAATGCATTAATCCGGTGTCGATAAAAAAAAAACCTCAAAATCACGGACGTGCGCGGGCGTTTTTCATCGAATACATTATAATAATATGAAGTAGATATATCGAAAACTTTAAAACACCTACTGCCTGCGGTAAAATGATAAAATGTTTTCTAACCAGTGCTGAAATTTGGTTTTGAAATAGTTTCGAAAGACGAGAAAATAGCAAGTGGCTATATATTTTATTTAAAAAGTTTGAAATACACTCTTATAAGATGTCGTATATAAATTTATAAATCTTTTTCCAAAGGTAACTGATGTGGGTATAACATCTGATTTTGAGCACTTCGCGCTTAAATAACCTCTTATTATTTTTTTTATAATGTTTTGACCGAATGATTTTCATGAAATTTTACCCTGCTTTATCTCTAGTAGTATATCTATGCACTCAAAAGCCGGACATATAGTAACAAAGTAATATACTGATGTACAACGAGTGCAAAACATCTGTTTACTGGAGTAAAATAATTCCTTTGAAGTGATCTCTTGTGCACAAAAAGCGAAAATCTGTCACGAATTATACGGAAATGTTTTTGTCCCTAACAGAAGAAGTTTGCAAACGCAGTAAGCGTTTGTGTACGACTATCAAATAAAACGGCTAGAATCTGTCTACAGGCTGTATATTGATTTTTTTTTATTCTATTCGCTTTCCATTTTTTTTTTTTGTATGATATATATTTTAAATTCTGATCGTAGTCAGGAATGTACTGGTTTTCCTATGATAAGTGCTTGTTTAATATTTCTTGTTTTCTCTCAGTGAGTGACTTTCTTAACAGAAATCTTGAAACGTTTATCAATTTAAGGTAGATTTTTGGTGACAAATTTTGTATAGTTGCTACATATTTGTGATAATTTTATATTCGGAAAGTAACGACGGATCTATTGGTTTTACTATAATGTGCATTAATAAGGTCCTTGTCGTTGATTTTTCAAGGGAATTTCAAAATAATTGGGATAAACCGGGAACAAAATTATAGGAAAATGGCAGATATTTTCGGTGCGATGTATGACGCGGCGTTACCGATTTCATTCTTTTTAATTTTTGTAAACTATTTTTTAGTTAACTGTGAACTTTTTCGTTGGATTTTGAATCTAGATGCTTTCTAGATGCTTTTTTGATTTTCTAAATAATTCTCATGATAATTGAAAAAAACTGGAAGAAGACGAAAAATAAAAAAAACTGATAAATTTACGGCATTAGTATTTCATTATTTTAAATTTTTACACTTTATTTTTCTATCAGAAATATTGCTCCAATTGAAAAACAACAAGGTACCTTTTTTTGTTGTACTTTTGTTCTAGTTGGTAAATAAATCGTTTTTTGATTTTCCAAGTAGTTTTTTTATAATTTAATAAAACCGAAAAAATCGTATAAAAAGTGGGAAAATTGTATGTAATTAATTGTTTTAAAGTTCTTTTTTCAATGTGATTCAGTTGTAAAATTTTAAACATATTTGAGCCATTCTTGAGATATTTATAGACATTTTAATTTCGTTAATTTTTTTACATAATTTTTATTCGATATATATTCTGTGGATAAAATTGTTAGACTTAATAGAAATGCTTAAACATTTGATAGAAGAGGAAGTTCATTATAAGTTATACATAGTGGTCGAAAAAAAAAATATCGAATAAATGTAAAATAGAATGTATTCAAAATATTGCAGAATATGTAACAGTGTCGGTATTTTGAATGTTTTATAAATTCACATTTAGTAAATTGCAAAATATTATGTTAAATTTGTTCAGCTCGAAGATAATACCAGATCAGTCAGTTTAATTGGAATATTAACGTGAATGGAATAACGTGGTGTTCTGTTATTGTTACTGACAGTGCCATAGCCAGGAGGGTTTTGGGTAAGATCAAGAAGGTTTTATATTTCTGAACAAGACGGGTTAAAGACCAATAGAATGGTAAATACTGCAGGAATGTACTTATAATATAAATACATTTACTCGATATCTAATAAACGAAATTATTTTGGTTGAATAAAATTATTCTCTTTTACACCTATCGATTTTCAATTAAATTAATATATATATACAAAATATACTATTACGGAAAAATTGTTTTTTTTTTTTCTAACATCGATCGGTTTCACCGGGAGACGCATTCCTATTGGGAAAAGGTGGGTCTAATTTATGTCATCATATTTCCGTTCATGCACTTTAACCGTTGTCGAATTGAATAAAAGGTCATAATCATCATCAAAGACTGACGCTTCTTCAGGACCATACGAATACATTATACGTCGGGTCGTCGACGGAATATCAAACATTCGATCCTTATGTATGCACAGGGTTTCCTACAGTATTATATCATTATTATTATTTTATAGGTTTTAGGTCAGTGGCAAACATATGTAGAGAATCATTTTTTTTATCCCTTAATTACTGAAAAAAAAATTATTTTATTTTATTATTTTTCAAAATAACCATTTTGTAAAAAAATATTATTTAAAAATTATAATGTACCATATACATTCATATTTGATCAAATGTTTCTGATTAATAGCCGATTTAATTTCTAGAAAATTGGTGTGAAAACAATTAATTTTCTATAGAATAACACTTCTTCTCGATAAGGAATCACAATCAATAATTCCTCATATTTTATTGAAGATTGTACAACGTTCATATAATACCGGTGCATATGAGTTGCCCCCCAAAATGTACGAATTGCCTCCTATACTTATCGTAAATAAAAAAGTTAATGTAAACTAGTCGCCTCCGACGATTAGGTAGTTCATAATTATATGATACGAGTTGCTTCCCAAAAATGTTCGCATTAGTTGCCTCCTATATTGAATAAAGTAGTGGCTCTTAAACTAAACTGAAGTTAATATAATATTTATAACTTTATTAAGAATAATAATATGATTGGTGGAAAAAAAACATGTATATATCCGGGAGGCAATTCGTATTAAAATTGTCGACCTTTTTGATCTCAGGAGGCAACTAGTTTTATAGGGCGCCTATAACACTGTTGGACACCCTGTATACATTATATGCGGAAAAAAATTTTGAAATATGTGCATTTTCAAAGACATGTGACAATCTAATTTCATATCTCGATCCTATGTATTCGAATTCCCGACGTGTCCCACTGCGCTCCCTCGTTCCCTCGAGAGTATTCGTATAATTTGGCTTCGGGCTTCGAGTATTCCTGCGTGCCGGGCTCAATCTAACGATAGTGAATATGACTGCAAAAACCCTACTATTGATTGTCATTTTTTTTTTTTTTTTTTGATATTCAATTTTACTTTTCGAACTATCAACATCTATATGAAAACTGTATATAGCGTCCAGTGGCGTGCACAGGTTGAGGAGGTTAAGGGTCATTTCTCTCTCTCATTGAAATTGGCTTAAAAATACAACAAATATGTGTATTAATTTATTAATTGTATCTTGAAATTATATATTTAGTCAAATTAAGTAAGAAAAATTCTCGACTGGAATTTTTGGATCCGCTTTTTAAATTCTCATTGTCGAGTTAGGTTTAACAGAAGGGAATTTTACGATTTACTCATGAAATCCCGTCCAATTAAAATTTCTTGGGAACGATACTGATAGTGTCTATAGTTTACCTATACCAACATTCTTAATACTTATATATTATGTTGTAGGTTTTATTTCAGTAGTATATATATATATATATATATATTATACTATATTACACATTAAATATTTTGCTTGTTTACTTTTGCTTGCTTTTCATACTTAGATATTATATTATATTATTTCAGTAATAGTAAGAGAAGCGTACTGTCATCATCAGTTATAACTATTATTTGTTGATTTTAAGCTTCTACTATCAGAAAATAGATTTTACAAATTTAAAAAAATATACTATAAATGTTTTGTCTGAATCCGATCAATATTATAGTAAGTATATGTTTTGAACGAAATTAATTTTGTTTGATTTTAGAAAATGGTTGTATTTATAATACATAATTTAAGTACATTTATTGTAATACGAAAATCATAGATGAAACAATTGTCTCATTTGGCAGTCAGTTATTTTCTGTATTTTGTTTATCACTCCGAAATTTGTTTCCTTTTGATCGTTTTTTGCGAATTTTTAATAATAATACTAATAAAAAAAAGAGACGGACATACTTCACAAGTAGGTGGGCTACTGTTAGCTGAGAAGTTAGGAAGGTAGAAGGGAAGTTTAATGTAGGTATATCTGTATTCAATGATGTCACATTATGGTGAATAATTACATATGCTATATATAATTACTTCAGGAATATTTGTTTAATATTGTATCTATTATCATATTTTTCCCCGGTTTTTACCAAGTTTTTCTCATTTATTAGGAAAACTCCTGGGAAAATCAAAAAATAACTTCTCACTTCAAGAAAATTTCCTTTCAAAAAAGTCCTTTAATACTTCGGAGCAAGACTTTTGGTAGAATTTTTATATACAGTGTAGAAAAAATAATAATAATAATAAAAAAAAAAAACATTTTTGTAAAACCAATAAATCATTCGATACATTCAGAATCTAAAATAGCTAGTGGTTTAAACATTAAAAACATGCCTGTTGATAAATATAATTACGCCGATAATTATTATATCGTGTCTATCGGTCGTGCCATCCGATTCGTGATAAACTATCACCGGATACGTGTATTCTATACATTATATGCTTACAAAATAACGTATTATAACAGCATTGCAGTTGTTAGTTAAAAATAACACAAAAACTAGAAACACGCAACGACACGGATGACAGTCTGTATAAGTAGATAATGGATTTAGGACGACGAGGAAAAAAATCCTCCTCTGTATTATTCCCCCAGAGGTATTATTATTATAGGGTTCGTGTATTATCGCGCCGTAAAATATATAGACTGCAGATGTATTTTTTTTCCTGGTGGTTTCTTTTTTTTTTTATCTTTAGCGTATAAATATATGTATATAGATATTTTAATAATTAGTATAATGAAAAAATAAAATTACGACGATAAATTTAATATAATTATACAGTTTATATAACCACACGTATAATATTACGAGTATGTAAACACAATATTTTTATACACTACTTGTTTAAAATTAAAAAGTCACTGTATTCATAAATTCGCATGCAATATACTGAATAATATTAAATATAACTATATCAAATAACTATTAATAAAAACAACTATAACTAGCTGATTGTATGTACAAGATATGAAGTTTGACAGACATATATTATTATAATTTATTATAAGAGGGAAAACTGTATCGATTCTTCTTTATATCCTTCGCCTCCATCCAAACAATTTGAGATCGGCTATCCTCGTCCTCGTCACATCACAAACATCCGCTGCCCTCGTACCATTCTCAATCACATCTAATCACTTTTTCAGTATTTCTCTCCCCATTTTTTATTCTACATTTATTTTCATTGTGATTGTTACTGCTTCTGATTTCTCTCTCCCTCATACTATGCCCAAACCATCTTGGTTTATTTTATTTTATTTTGTCTACTATTGAAACTAAATCTAAGTTACCTCTTTTATACTCATTCGTTTCCTATCTTTTCTCGTAGTTTTCCTTATCCATCTAAGTATTCTCATTTTTGTTACACTTATTCTCTGTTCTATATTTCTCTCTACCACCTAACTCTCCAAATCATGAAATATAGTCTGTCTCACGATACTGTTGTAGAACTTATGTTTAAGTCTCATTGGAATTATTTTATCATATAGAACACCTCTACTCTCCATTTTATCCAATAACACTTAATACTAAGTTTCACATTCTCGCTATAGTTCCCGTTATTTTGTATAAAAGACCCTAGGTACTTAAAAGTTTCAACCTTGCCTATTATGTCACCTCTTATTGTTGTTAGCTGTTTTTCCTGTTTTTCCACTCATATTTTGTATACTCTGTTTTACTTTTACTTATTCTTAGCCCCTTACCTTCAAGTGCTACTTTCTATTCCTCGAGCCTATTACTAACTCCTTCTTAATTTTCTATTATCAAAGTTATATTAATTTCAAACATTGGTACCTCTTCTCATTTGATGTCCTCACATACATTCGGGAAAGGACAATCCGTACAAAAACACCTCACCACTGTATGCCAAAATTTTACACCAGCTGTCGACCTGACTCAACCCCATTTATCACTTCTGATGGTAGGTAGAAGTCTCGTGCGGGAGTTTTCTAATCTCCTCCCATAGGGAGAATTGTCTCTCATCCTACAGAAACAGTATCATATGCTAACTGAAATCACTCACTTGAGGTTTCCACCAATAAGATCATTATATGCACTTCTGAGAGAGAAAACTGTATCCAATTAATTCATAAGATATCTGTGTTTATACCATGAATAATGTGATAATATTATAGAAACAATTTAAAATGATTTGTATATTATCGCATTGATTTTTGGCATAAATAAATGTATTTTAATACAATTTGATCTCTCAGTATATTATGGTTTCCTATTCAAAATTATATATTAAGTCAGTTATTTATTATAGTTGTTTTAAAAGATAAGTGTAAGTATGTGGTCTCCCGAAAAAATTAATAAAATGTGAAGCTCAAAATTAAGTATGGTAATATTATAGAACGATTTTTAATGTACACATTTATTTATTTATATTATACGATTTCATATAGAAGCATAGAATACATACAAATATTCATAACAGTAAAATGCCACTAAAACACTTAAGTCGTGTCATATGATACCTCTATGCAATTATATTATAATAAAATTTAATAGGTAAAAACAATTGTCATGTTTCTGCCATTGAAGACATATCTCTATTGCAAATAAACATTGGATTTAATATTGTATATATGGTATGCATGACACATGGTGTTATTTAATATGATATATAGGATGTTTAAAACAGTAGAATATGATAAACTCATTTTATTTTGATTAGACCACACTAGGTATAGAGATAGACCGTAGCCCGTAGCCCATAAACTCGCTGTGTGGTTAGGTTATGTGTTCGGTATATTGCATACTAAAGAACAGCTGTTTAATATATCCTTATGGAATATGTGATAATAGTCCATTTTTCCTTTTTATAACACGAACGATTATCAATATAAATTTAAGAAAGTGTGATCGCGCGTAGTTGTGATAATATTATCATAATTACAATATTGCCCGCATTATCATTATAATATCGATTGGTACAGACAAAAATAATATGTATTTGTTTTATAGAGATGTTACATAAAAAATAGAATTGTGATACCTATAATGTAAAATTCAATAAAATATATGTATTTATTTATGTTTTCGCAACCCTATAATAATGGGGTTGTTTATAATAAGCTTTAATACAAAGTATATTAAATGACCTTTAAACAGTGTAAAGCTCACGGGAGGAAATATTATACCTACGTATAATAATAGACGATTATTGTTATTTTATAATAGATTGACCTATCTGAGCTCTCAAGTTTGTGAACTGAAAAATAAAAAAACCGCTTCATTATCTACGTATATAACTATAATACCTTTATGCTCCGAAAAAACCTTGACTATGTATATGCAGTAAAATTCTTGATTAGTATGCAATAGTAATACTTTCTAAAACTGAAAAATATTAAATATGTTCAACGTACGTTTTATGTTAAATCATTTTACACCGTCTACGAGTATTGATTAGGTAGATATATACATTATAAGAAAACGGCAAATTTTTTTTTAATTTGTTAAATAAATTTTGTTTTTGACAGTACTTTCGTGAGTACACATATTAAAAAAAAAAAACCCCATTATCGGTACCTATTTACATAAAATTCACAAAGAAAACGTAAAATTATGATAAAATACGTCAACATTTGGCGAAAATCATCTCATATATTATGCGAAATAAAAAAAAACGTTTAAATGAATGAACTGGCTAGCCTCTAACAAAAAAGAAAACTATTGATTGAATTGTATATTCAGTTAGAAAAAGAATATATACGTACTTACTCAAAATAATGAAAAATGGTGTAATATTATTGAATCACACTCAGGCTACAAAATGTATATTCCAACATTATAATATACCTACAAGTATTATATTCCTATAATGGCACGGTAAGAATGTCTCACCCCGAGGCGAAAATGATCGAGTACTCGTTCACCTACATAAGTTAGGTACCTATCAAGTGGTACGATTATCGCACTTTGTGAACTTTTAAATCAAATATGAAAGCTTAAAAGTTGTGCAGGTATGTACTAGGCAGATAGTATACAATACGTCATCCGGATTAAGTTCTTAGATGATTGAGGTTTTTCTTCACAGTTTCAAAGTAAAATAAAAACGACCACAAGCCGCTACTGCACGATATTATTAAATTCCATACATGCTATGTTAAAATAATAATACAAATTTGTTGTGCGTTTGTTCGTTATCACGAGTTGCCAAATCACAGCCGAGTGCACGCAAATTATGTCTGAATATTTAATAATATGTTTGATATGGTTTTTTTTTTTTTTTTTGTAGCAATTTTTTATCGCTACTTATAGCCTATATACTATAAACATCCCATTCAGAACAGTAGTCTAAGTCTTAAAGTTTAATGTTCGGCTTTTTAATGTTTCTATTTAATAACTACGAAATATGTATAAAAGGATGTAAAATGTAATAATTATTATTGTTACCTACAACACTGAATTATATTTCAACCGATTTAATCGAGTGTTTTTGTACGCTTTAAATTTCTATGTTCACATTAAGTCCACACATTTCTTTTCGAAATATTAAAATCTTATAGAATTTATTAAATATAATACAAATATCTATGCATATAAATATTAAATAAGTTATGTTGTATAGTAACGTCACCGCTAGGAGTTATTATTTACAACGGTATACTGTTGTATACTCGACTTATATTTTATTCAAGTGACAAAAAAAAAAAAAATATCTATATCAGGTTGTGAAATTATTTAAATGGCAGAAAAAATTAATTAAATCAAAAATTAAAATCATAATTTATTTCGAAAAGATGAATTAAAATAAATAGAAAACCTTGGGTGGAACTTTCTTTTTGCATAGGCGGATATCAATTTATGTTAAAAAAATTGCCCATTAGATTTTTTCCCTTTATAAACTGTACGAAAAAATAATTAATTATTATTGTTCGTATATTAGATAATAGTCCAAATTGGATTATGATAATTGGTATATATATTACTTATGTTAATTAAAACGAAACATTTTTTGAAACAACAGTAAAGTAATTTTTTTTTAAACTTATGTTTTGTAATATGTTTATAGATACTTTGGGAAAATTAATATAAATTAAATATCTCAAAATGCTTTCTGTTTTTAAAGGTGTTATGGTTGTTACAATATGGTTTGAAATAATCAATATTAGAGAGGTGGTGCCGAAGTATTTTTTGACGTTCTCATAAAAATTAAAAAAAATTAAATTAAATTAAATATTTTTATAAACTTCGATGCTAAAAATATGTTTAGAAAAGTTTTTTTTTTCCATAGTATTGCACAAGAAAATTGATTAGGTTTTAGTTATAGTTTTGATACAATACTGTTAGAAGAAATACCAGGTACCTATAGGCATTATGTTTGCTCAATCGTTTTTATATTAATAATTAAAGACATTGCTTTAAGGGAGGCGAAAGGGGTGAATTGTTTTATCTATTTATGCATATTAATATTTTTTCACTTATGGAGTTAGTACCATATAGTTAGATGTTTTATATTTTCAAATACTTATATACTGTTATACACGTTATATGGTTTTTAATAATTTAAAAATGCGTTATAATTTTTTTCCGTTAATATTTTCGGAGCCGAATATAAACATTAACAGAAAAGAAAAAACACCAGCACAATTTTTGTTGTTCCATAAAAATATAGTGTAGCAAAACTCGTTATGGAGGAATTTTAACAATTCATAAGGAACAGAATTTACAATAAGTATAGTGTTATTTATTTGTTTTTGCGTATTTGCAACGTGCATTATGTCATATACCATATAGTATATGGCATATACAGTTAAAATATGAGTTAGGCATTTTATACATTATTTTTTATTGAAAAATGGTTGCTACGAATTAATAAAAATTATATATATCTTATATATGAGCTCGTTCAAATTAATATCGAACGGTTCGAATTAAATGTGCTGAGCTTATCTATGTACTTGAGAGGACAAATAAAAGCCAATATTTGTGTTTATTAATTAATGTTAACTGAGGAGTATACATATGAGTTATGAAATATAATATGTACTTAATGTAGTATTATAACGTGAAACATTCTTTTTTTTTTTTGTATCTGTAGTTTATTTTATAAGCTCCTAGACTAAACAATGAATTTGTCGATTATTATCAGACAAAAATATTATTTAATGCAAAATATGTAGTAAAATACCATATTGAGATTTAAATTCAACTGTAGGCAAACCCATATTTGTTACTAATTTAAATTTAATATTCAAATAAATTTATATTTAATATGATTTTAAAAATACTTTGGCGAAAAATCTCGCAGCTTCTTCTCCTGTCACTCTTGTAGACACGTTTATATTTTTTTCTTTTCGGTTACTACGCATACACGGTACGCCACAAAATAATAATTATGTACATAGTCCTGATATAACAGAGTTAGTCCCCTTATTTTGGTATAATAAACTGTCACCAGAGTGCAGAAACATTGAATTTAGATTTCAATATGATATGAAAAAATTAAATCTTTATAATTCTTATCTGATAATAATATACAGGATATCATGGTATGTTTTACCATGTATAAAAAAATATACACATATATATATATATATACAATATAATAATTTAAAAAATAATATGCAGTATTATTATATAGATGATCTACGTATGAATTGTTAAATATTTATATAGGACAACAATTATGTATGAATAATCAGATTTATCAAATAATATGCAGTGTCCAGTATTCTCAATCAAGGTTAAATAATAATGATTTACTGAAAAAAAAAAAAAAAAAACCTATATGGTATGATATTCATGTCAAATTTCAATATTGCATACATGTTTACTGGCATTTTTACGTTACTGCGATTTTGCACATTTGTGTACGGGCGTATGTACTTAATTGTTAAAGTGATCGAATAGTAAAATAATAATATTGATATTTTTTTTGTGGATAATCGGCTGTTTATCAAAAATTAACTACTTAAATTCAATTTTGCAGATTCGCACGGTTAGATATCGTTCAATAATATCCTCGACATCCAGGTAATCGATTCGCATGTAATATTTATCAAAAAAAAAAAAAAATTTACACGATACTTATAAATAAAATATAACATACCGTTATAGATCAGGTAGATATTCAGATAGGTATTATCAATGGTATACTGAAAATACTGCGAGCCTTACCGAAATCTTGATATTATGCGAATAACTTACGTAATTATTGCAGTATATAGGCAGGATAATTTCGGAAACCATTCAACAAGCTTGATAGTTACAACCGCGTATTTATATGTATGATACTGAATTCGGTTACGTAACTATGTTATGTGTAACCAGTATTCGTCAGGGAAGGGTGACTAAATTGCGCCATTAAGGGTTGACATCATATTTTCCAGAGGGAAATGAAAAAAAAAGTCATACAATTATATTTTCTATATCGCGTGGTTATATACCAATGATATTTATATATACAATTATTCTTTGCAACACATTAGGCATTAGATTTCTTGCAGGGTAATTTCCTACTTTATGATCATTGTCATTGTATTTTTATTTTTATTTTATGCATATAAAATTCACTGGAAAACCACACGCACGATACCTCTGTAAAATTAAAAACAAGAAATTGCCTATATACGACTGCTATGAAACGATCGGTATCCAATCCCCATAAAAGATTATTATCCTTGTTATTTAAAGCAGAAAAACTCAACAAATGTTCGTTCAGATTTCGATTCAAATACGCCAAAACTTGTATTAAAATAATCTGATTGATAATTTAGATTAAAACATGTAGGCTCTCATTTAAAAACCAAATTTGGTATTCCAACTGGATATGTCTTTAATGTGAAATTAGATTAGGAATGTAATATCGTCTCTCTCTACACTTAAACATTGCAAAAATCAGAATTTGAATTTATGCTCATTTTAATCATACTAATGGGATACACATGCACTGGGGATCGCCAACTAATTTTTCAGGGTCGCCGAATTTATAAAATATATATTGAAAGGTCATTAAAAAATTAAATATTCATTTAGGGGTTCGCGACAGTAAAACGGTTGAGAAACACTGGTTTAGAAGACCTTATCGCTTTAATAGACAGACAGGCATTGTGACTTTATTTTATACTGTTTATAGATACGAATATTATTGAGTTTTACTTTTGATTTTATATCATAAAATATTATGGTTATAAAATAACGTTTTAATATTGCGTTACGTTTTCGAATGTTCCGATGATTTTTACACCAACGTCACGTTGTGTTAATTCAATATAGTCCAGGTATAATATATAATTCAAAAATTTAATAAAATTAGCTATAAGTATTCGCTCAAGTTTGCTGAAAGCGAGAAGCGTGGAAAATTACATTTCCGAACTGCTGCCTGCGAAATGCTTACAGAAAAAGTCACTTAATATAACGTTTTCTTTTAATATAATGTCTCTGCGCTGTGGGTACCTATATATATAAATTATATATTCAATTTGTATTATTATTTTCTTTTGCAAATTATTTTTCAGGTACTCTCTTTTTGTTCTCGATATCTTATCTAGCTATTGTCCGTTTAAATTACCGAGCGTTTCATTTCAATTGTTATGTAGCCTGCAGCTGCAGTTTTGATCTTTTTAATTTTCTCGTTTTATCCCCGGTTTTTATAATTATTTTATTTACAATTTACAGTACATTACACATACCTACAATAATTATTTTGTTCAAACAATATTATATTGTTTTGTTTTTTTTTTTTTTAATGAAATTACTATAGTTTATTAAAATATATAAAATAAACTTATTTCATGGGTACATAAGTTTTCATTGACACGGTGTCATAAGATTGGCGTAGCTATTATACTGGTGGGTGTGGACTACCCATTATTTGTGAAGAAAAAATTTTATTTTTGTCAATTTCGCAAATTATTTACAAATCCGAAGTATGTATACTAAGGTTGATATTATTATAGGCGATTTTATGCGATCTTACTACCTCACCTGCAGTTTTTAAAATATTAACAAATATGTTTCACCTTTGCCTATGCGCTCCCACAAACAACTGATCCTCAAATTAAATTGTATTACATTTTATTTTGATAAGCTCTTAATACTTGGTGGAAATCATCATTACGTGCTCCCTAGGGTACTGTCGTAGAACTGTAGATATCTAAATCAACCTAACTCTTCATAGCTGTATATTATTCTCAGGTATTCTTTGACGTTTGTTTGTATACGCAACAAACCTTGACGATGAGGGTCCAGCGAGAGGATTGTTTGTTATTATATCTTTACTGCAATTTTGAGGTTTTTCTGTGTGAACGAACACCAAGAATAGGGGTCCGCATATTATAGTTCAGGCTTTACTTGCGTCATGTTACAGTGGTCTGGGTACAGTGCAGTGAATCCTTTAGTCGGTCTAATGTACAGTTATAGTCTTAAGGGTACGTCGTGTATTCAATGGCATGCTCCGGAATTTTCATTTCTGTTTGGCCAAACAGTTTATGTAAAACAAAATAAAAATTAAAAATATAAAATGCTTACAAACAATTCTAAAATCACCAGAATGTTTTGAATATTTTACTACATCTAGAAAAGGCATACATACATTCTACATCTAGAGTATATTGTGGAAATCTCAGATCTCTGCAGTTGTTTTGAACAAAATACAAAAAAAAACTATACGAAAAATTAAAAAAATACTCTCTTATGCTGATTAGACAGAATTTTATTCAATATAATCCTCGTCATTTGTTTATTGGAGTAAGGTGTATAAATAAAATTGATTATAGACATAACTAAAAAAAAAAAAACAAATTTTCACACACCAATACATTCTTTGTTGCGCTCAGAATCTAAAATAACATCGAATTGCTGTTGCACAGAATACAATTTTCAATTAGCACAATCTCGTGATATAATATAACCTAACCGAATAGAGTTTAAATATTTATTTGGAATTTTTGGAAGAATGTTTAAATTTCGCTTATAGTATTATTATGTTACAATTTTAAATCATACATTCTGATAATACACGCGTGACGTAAAAGTTTTAATAACATTCTTGATTCGAATTTGAAGTTTTTTTTTAATGAAACCGTATAATTTTACTAAAAAATAATAATATATTTGGTTAAATAATACCTAGATAATATTAATCGAAAAAAATATGCGTTGTAATTATCTTTTTCGTAAGATCTAATAAACTTCTTTTAAATAAATAATATTATAATTTTTCAAGTAATCGCCATTTAATGGATTTGTCGTTGGAATACAAATTATTATCTTTTATGCAAATGCGAACCCAGTTTCATCGCCTATGTAAAATATTAAATTTTAGTAGGCTTTAGGTTTTTAAATAAAAGTTTCTGTCCGTTTTAGCCGTCCGCCGGTTGTTATAATTCGCAAGGAGAAGCATACAAATTGGTATCGTTATTATTAATTTAAATATAAATTCGTAAGAGTTTTACTGTTAAAATATATTAAGTATACACAATAACTTTTTACATAGATTATTTTCAACTTATTGTAATCTTAAAAAAAAAAATCATGACTAAAATAACAGTGAGTCATTTTTTGATGTTTTTAGATTTATACAATTGTTTTATTAAAGCCACGTTCACGCACAACTAGTTAGGTTATTATTAGAAAAATAATTTTTTTTTTTAATGAAAACACTCATTCTTGATTATAGATTATCCAGGGATGGATGTAGTGAGGGGTGCTAGGTTATCATAGCATTCCCCTGGTCTGGATGTTTACTTTTTTTTCAGTAAGAAATTATTTATTATAATTTTTGTATATGATAATCCTGCAGTGTCATCCTAATGCTAATAATTCTGTCAATATTCAATTATTTTTTCTGGTTTTGTATTAGGTTGACATATATGTAGTGAAGAATTAAATTAATTTAAATTTCTTATTTAGTCTTCTAGAATATTTTTGTCATTTTCTCATGTTTTTTTTTTTATAAAATTTGCGGTCTGCATAAACTAAAATGATTGAGAACCACTGTAATAGAAGATAAGGAATTACCGTTCTGATTGTGATTCCTTACCGCGTAACATGTTATTTTATTGAAAATTACTTGTTTTTACGTCAATTTTCTAGAAAGTAAAAAGATTTATTTTTAAGAAACTATTGATTGGATATTAATGTATAATACATTAAAATTGTTAAGTGTGTTGATGTTATTGTTTTATATTAAAATGTTGTTTTACTTTTTATCCAAACTGATCCATCAAACATAACAATTATATGTTCAAAAAATATTTAACTTGTTATTTTCAAAGGTGGCAAATTAGCAAGAAAAGTTTTAGTCGAGTGAGCGTGGCCGTGTGAAAAGCAATCGTTTAAACGTATAGATATAAAAGTTTTTCAGTAGTACATTTTAAACGAAATTTCGTTGTAAGCGCGGAACTGTCGGTTGTTAGAGTCGCTATAGTATTATTATATTTTATGTGGGCCAAAATATACTTAAAACGTCAATCTTTATACAGGCATACGGTATACTTTAAACTGGCTATTCCGTCTATAAACACCGAGCTAACATCGTTTACGCATTTAAGTTTGATAAAATTGAGTTTAAAGATAGATTCTTAGACTTTTGGTGACAGATTAATATTAATATAATTTCGATGTAAAGAAAATAATTACAAAATAACAATAAATACATAATTATAAGTTTACCTAATAAAAATAAAATTTGTTTAACGATATATTATAATTCCATTAAATAATATCACTTTAAAAATATTTTAAAATATTGTACATTAAAGTCATAGTAAAATATTATATGATGCGTAGACAAATATTTCCCTTTTAGATTCCAAGAGTATCGAGAAATGCATTGGTTTTTTATTATGTGTGTGTCATTTTCTTATCTGCGCATAATTTTTCTACCAAATATACTGTTCCAATAAAATAATGACAAGAAAGCTTTTTTTAAATCATTACGGATCTAGTTAATGCATCAAAGATGTCTCTTTTCCATATCCCAAACAGTTTTCATAGTAGTTGAGAAAAACCGGATAAAGAGATATAGGAAAAATATACCAATTTACGATTGTAAAAGTTACTTTATTTTAGATTTGTTTGGTTTTGTTTTTCAAACAGAAATCTTTTTCCGAAATTAACGAGTAGCATCTTTTCTGAAAGAAAATTTTATCTAGTTTGGACGTAATAAGATGATTATTTATGAAGTTTTCTTAATAATTGGAAAAAAAACGAAAGTAAAAGAGGAAAGTTAATAGTATTAATGGTTTCATTATTTCTGAATACTAAAAAAATCATTCAAATCTTTAATTTTCTTGTATCTTTAAAACAATATGTATCCAGTTAACGTACTTGCAAATGCAATAAATCAATTTAGGCCCACTATAATTACACAATACTTAAATGGAAAAAAAAATTTCCAATGCTTCTAATTCAACCACAATTTTTTTTTTGGACAACCTCAGAGAAACCATTATTAAACACATTATTAGGTAATATTTATTTTTCATTATTAATACATTTTTTCATAAAATAATAAATGCCTCTAAAAATGTTTATCTCCGGGTATTGAATTTTCTTAATCTGTGCTCGAGTCTAGATAATATAGGTAGGTACATTTTAGGTTCTTAATGGACCGAACGAGTTATTAGATTTAACAATGATATCAGCGTATTAAAACTTTATATTATAGTAAAAACACTTTTTAGAGTAATAAAAGTTCTTCATAAGTCTCATAAAATCCCCCTCGTATCGATTGGCTATCGGTTATAAAGTAATGTGTTTTTTTTTTTTATTATTGTTTTGTCAGTAAACACGACTACGGGTAGATTAGTGCTCGAAAAGTTTTATGCAGCCACTTTTTCTTTTTTTTTGTGATTAATTTGGCAAAAATAAAATACCATTATAAACCAAAAGAAAGTTTACATAGAATATACGAAATTAAAATATAAATTTATTTTCTAAAAATCTAAACTATTATGATAATATTTAAAATATATAAGGTGATTGTTTACTTGATCGTAGATAATTTTAATATTGAATTTGGGTTCATTCAATCATTTAATGATCTTATTTACAATATTTTAACCATTTTACTACTTTTTTGTACGCCGTAAACAATGACACAACCAGGATTTATTTTCGAAGGAGGTTTTGTGAATTTGAAAAAAAAAAATCACTTTCGGATGGTATTTGGTGGGATGGAGGAAGTAAGATTTAATTAAGTTTATGAGTAAAATTTTTAATTTTTTTAATATTCATTTATAGACAATGCATTTTGAAAAACTATTTAGACTCGTATTAATTATGTATTTAAAATATATACTTTATACATAAGTACATGGTGGGCCATTCAAATCTTTTTCGGTAATAATAACAAAAAAAAAAAAAACAAATTATTTATTTTGAAAATTTTTCGTTTATTTTAGACATGGAAATTTGTTATGATTACTTTTTAAAAATAATATTACGTAAATGGACGCTTTCAGAGTGAATGATGTAATGTACTCGTTTTTGGCATTTCCCATCACTTTTCGAAGTGTTTCCAGCTGAAAAGTGTTTCCTGTTATATATTATCTTTCAACGCTTCTAAAGTCCGTGGTTAGATTTAGGTTGAGTAAAATTCAGAGTTTAAATAACTCTATGGAAAAAAGTCTGGAGGCTTTAAGTCGGGTGATCGTGGAGGTCAGTCGAAATCACCATTTTTTTGAAATTGATCGTCCGAAGAGCAAAGTACGCAATAAAGCGATCATAGCTCCAGCTGTATAAGCTGTAGCGCCATCTTGTTGAAAATATTTTCAAAAACATTTCCAAAATAAACGAAAATATATTTAAAATTAATTATTTTTTGTTTTTTTGTTTTATAAAATTATTATTAAAAAACATCCCGAAGTTTTAAATGGCCCAAACTGTAAAATAATAATTATAATAATTTACAGTCTAAGATTAATTCTTCGAGTAGAGTGCCTCAACATTAAGCACTGAATCTGGTTTAACTTCAATGTCTATATTTATGTTTAAAGTGGCCATTCCATTAAGTTTCTGCCATCCTGTATTGTTCTTTAAATTCGTTTTTAGCCTTGAAAGTGCAATAAAATAATGATCTTTATAATGATAGTAGTTATCACTTATTCATACACGATGTTTTAACATTATGTTTCAAATTAGTATGCAATCATACAACTGCGTAGGCACTACGTAAATTCGTAGTATTAACCTCCCGCCCCTAGTTACGCCACTGGCTGCAAATACAAAAGTAGTTCTTAAATTTGAAATAGCGACCTTCATCCTTTTTAAATCTTTCATAAGTAAATTTTTTTAAAATCGTTGATAAGTTTAAAAATTGCAAGTTTCAACACCAAAAATATTCAAGTTTGTAAGTTGTATAATGTATATACAAAAAATAATAATAATAATAATAATAACACTGTGATTACGTACCTTACTTGTCGTGTTAATCGTCATTAGGCACGGGGAAATATAAATGGTATAGTTTTAAACAGATCCTAGAGTTCAAATAATATAATATAATTATAATTGCTTATTTTCGTTCATTTCGATTGCTAACTTGATTGATTATAGTTAAAAATGTTTTTTTATAGTTTTAAAAAGATTTTTGAAGTGCAGTTTATTTCAAGATTATTTTTGGTGATTTTAAATGTTATACAAGTCTCGAATTCTGTTGATAAACAATTGAAGAACCAAAATCTTTATAGTTATTCGTTAGCTTGTAATAAAACAATTTCCTTGTATAATGAAAAATAAAAAAAGAATAATTTTTCTCGATAATTGATAAATTATAATAGAAAAACATAAGATTAAACGCATTATTATTTTTAATATATTATATTAAAAAATGAATACAATAGACATTGGTCAAATGAAATTGATTTTCTTTATGACGAATGTTTACCGAACTAGCAGAGTCTGGAAATGAAGGATTACTACACGGACGAATCAATAATGGTCTGCAAACGACAATAATATAATATTTTTATGATATATGTATGTACATTACAGTATATATATATACATATATATTTATATATATACATAATATGTATTATAAGAAAAGTCAGAAAAGTTAGTTGAACAAAGTTTTTCGTACTTTTAAATATTTTGTACAATAATACACTGCACGAGGTTCATTTCAAATTGCATATTATAAAAATCTGTAAAACAAATAAAGTAGATCTTTAAATAAAAATAAAAACCCTGGAATTAAATTTTAAATGTTGAATGTGTGGTGTGGACTGTATTGATTTTACTTTGATGTGTGTGTTTTTCTTAATCTTTTTATTTTTTTAAGTAATACTTTTCTACCAGAACTCGAATTTCTAGCACAAATGTCGTCTGGTCTGTGCATTAGGTAGAACAATTTTAGCTATATAAATTAAATAATCATAATGTATAGTATATACTATTCTCAATTTCTTACTTATAACATGTGGCATACCCACGGTGCGTAGTATATGACTTCGGTGTTGGATAGAAAAATAAATTGAAAAAATAAAAAACAATTAAACCTAATGGCTATACTGTAAATAAATACGTTATTTCTCGATTATTAGGAAACAATTGAAAGCGAAATCAAAAAACGACCTTTCCAAGGGACCAAATAGATCCAATATGCTACAAAAAGATATCTTGTTATTCTTTGATCATTGGTAGAAAAGTTGTTGAACAGAGGTACAAAAAAGTAGTCGGAGCATGTTTTGTTGGTCTTTTTGTCAAATCGTTATTAGACCATGAATCTTTTTGTTTGCTTTGAGTTTTAATAATTATAGTTATAGTTTCATAATTTCATGTTGTTTTAAATTATATTACCAAATTAACTTATTGTAAAAAATAATATTACAGGTTATAAATATACTTTTATTTAAAGAAAATAAAAGCTAACAAAAATATTATAATTATTTCATTAAGCGATCGATATATACATTAACTATACGGTCAGAAAAAGGTATTTATAATTACCTATATATTTGTTACCATAAAAATATTCATTTATCATTTTCTTGAGAGATTTTGTGTTTGATTTTTAACGGTTACATAATATGCATTATTCATAGTTATGCTAATTTCGATGTTTCACATTATGAAAAGAAACTGACTTTGAGAGTACTAAGTTGGCAATAAAAAAAAAGAATAGAACAGTTTTTTTAAAACTGTATACAATTAAATAATTGAATTTAAATAGTGAAAATTTTTTTTCTTGAAAAATTGATTAGATTTTGACATCCTTTAAAATTATTTTTTCTTTAAATTTATATATATATATATATATATTTAGTTGTGATTTATAAAAATTAGATTACTTTACTTACTTCTAAGTATTTGCGGTAAATGATTTTCATACCGTTTTTTTCTATGCAATGTTTAAAACGACGAATAAGAGTCTTAATTTCATACACTCAATGCGATTTTTTGATTATTATTATATACAATCAATATTTAGTTTTAACAACTCTATTAATTTTGAATAGTTCATCAAAGATGAGTTCTGAATATCTGATTGACTATGGTGGGAGACGTCTCGTAGTGGTTTTCAATAATTGCGTATCAAATGGACTATGGAGTGCAAAATACCGGCTTTTGGCGGTTAGGTTGATTTAGGTTAGTTGGGTTGCGTTTGTTTTGAATATTTAATATGTATTTTAAGTGTACGCCGAAATACCTTTAGATCTTCCATTTGTTTCCTGATTTCAATTTTAACATTTGTTTTGTTATCACAATAATATTGGTAGTAAATACTTGTATGTTTACAAACACTATCAATAATGTTTTTATGCTTTTTGATATTTTGTTAATTTTATAACAATACCACATTTGTTAGGATTTTTATTCAAAAATGTCCAAAAAAATAATCGATTATTTTGGTTATGGATACACTGAAAATTAAAAAAAAAAAACTTATTTTTCTTTTATTTCAGATTTCCTTTTAAATTTATAGTTTAGCTAACTATTAATCTATTAGTTTCACTATGATGTGTTTTTTTTCTCGGAATATTTTATCAGTTTATAAAAAAGATTTGATTTTTTCCTTGTCATCATCAAAAGAGACGGATTTTTGTCCGATGTGATTTTATTGGATTCATTTTTCGAAATTCTTAAGACTTATTCCAAAAAATTGCTTTTTATATTTTTGAGAACTCTATAAGTTTTGCAAATTTTTCAATAATTTCACATAGTACCATAAATGATACATTTTTATATAGTGGTACTTAATTTGATTAATATATTGTCATTTTCAGTGATTCACCAGTTTATTATTATAATGTTAAACGAATTAAAGTTGATGTAAAATTCGGATAGCACACGGAAATTTAATCACCATTAGAAATATTAAACGTAGTTTATATTTTTATTTAGGGTTTAAACCCCTCAAAAGTTCCTGCTACTGGTATTTATGATTTTTGAACGAAAAAAATGCGCTGTAAAAATATTTGTGTAATTTGCACAGATAAATATTTTGACACAAAATTTTCGTATTTACTATTATTATTATTATAATTTTTAAATTATAAAATACCTAAATTAACATTGACAATTATTGATATTTGAATAGCTTATTATTAATTAATATTTCCATATTTGAATGAGCGAAAGTTTTTGAGTGAATCGAGCAAATTTTCAAGATTTACCAGTTTTTTGAAGATGCTTTTTATTATTATTATCAATATTTTTTTTTTATTAAACTGCTTTCTTTCGGTATTAGTAAAAATGATCCTCGTGATTTAATTTTGAAAAATGTCGGATATTTTTTCCTAGATTCCTGGTTTCTTCGGTTACATAGAGTATGCTTCTAATTATTATTTTTTTTTAAAATACCAATAACATATATTGATTGAATACTTTTTTATTGGCAATATTATTAAATTAATAACTTTTCAAAAAAAAAATTTAAACAAAAATATTCACTAATCAATCAATTTATACAATTAATTTTAATCAAGAAAAGATTATTCTGAATACATGAAATTACCTATAGGTACTTGCTTTTTTCAAAACTCAGAATAACATGCAGTTAACTGAACGACATTCAACAATTACAATTTAACTCACTATTTATAAAATTAACTTAAAATCTAGAAATATATTTAGTTACAAGTTAAGTTATAGGGATATATCAAACGTTAAAAACTAAAGTTAAAAAGTTACTAACTTAACTTGCATTATTTTTTAATTATTAGTTAAAAGACGCACCCTTGGTATTTTAAATTGAATAATACTATAAAATGGTTTACGAACATTTTAGTATACGAATAAATAATAATTTTTAACGTTTTACCTTTTTATTTTACGCGTCGAAAAGCACAAAAGGAATAGTTTTTTTTTTAACTCTCGATAAATATAAAAGACGATTCGAATATTGGATAGTAAATAAACAGTACCCATCCAGTTGTACAAAAGTAGGAGGTAACCGTTAGTTGTAGACTGGCAATTCCTCGAGGAATTAATCAAAACAAATCCATATTTATACCTGTGAAAAACACATTTACTGTTTATTCAGGTCGCTTTCTCGGCTTATGTCAATAATATTCGATTCGAAATTCGGCTCTTCCTGCGCAATTTTCCAACGCGCAATTAAATACTTATATTCACAATTATGTAGAGAATTCAGATCGGACGGGTACGTCTCCACCGTTATCGTATTGAAATTGATAATATATTTTATTTGGTCGACAATAATGATATTATTGTAACAATAATGTCTCGACTAAATCAGACACCACACCTGACGCATTGTATACTGATTATTGTCTCTACCTAACTAGTGACGTATATAAGGGATGAGGTATATATCTCCCCCCATTTTGAGTAGTTATTTATATTACTTATTGGAATATTTTAATCGAAAAAATCGGAAACGTGTTGTAAAAAAAAAAAAAAAAAAACTGAACGTATTAATTTTAACCATTAAAATCATGAAGAAGGTTTAATTAGTACCTAAATAGTATTGATGCACTAACAATAATTGAATGAAAAATTAATTACAAAAATAAATATGTTTTTTTAACCTAGGTATAAGTTATACAATCTGACATACATTTCAATACATTTCATACATTTAATATCTCTCTCTTTAGCAAAATTAAATTTTGAACATAGATAAAGAAGTTTAAAGAAGAGATTTTTGACGTGTTGCCGTTTTTCTAAAATGTTGTTGTCATTCAGAAATTTTACATCTGTTCGAAAAAAAACTACTCATCGATTTTGAAAAAAAAAAATAGTTATCTACTTAAAATTTTATTTATTCGTATTTATTTGTTTTCCCTGTCCGTATCGCATGTAATGTAGCAACAAAGGTATTCTAAATTTTCACGATTACGACTATCTAGTTAGTTTAGAGGGAAGTGAACTAGTATGCATGAACCTGTATACATAAAATGAAACTATTTTATAATGGACCGAAAGAATGATTTTTTAAAAATATTTTAATTTTTTTATCGCAATATGGGTGTTTTAATTTAACTCGATTTGTCTTTATTTTAAACATTAGGTATTAATTTATGAATAAATTCAAATATTTACGAAAAATCATTCATTAGATATATAGCTAATACTCATCATAACAGAATGCAATTTCCCCTTAAATTCAACTACAGAGTCGCAGTTGTAGAAATGCGAAATGTCTTTGTTGCGATATTACGAACGAGACAGAGAAAAAACAAATATAAGTAATGATAGGTACATTAAACTCTAATTTTGACCTAAACGCCGCAATATTCAGTATTCTTAGTAAATGTGGTTCTGCAATATCCCTTCTGTGTTAGACCAGGGTAGTAAATGCGGGTATGGCGTAGTCTTCTAAATAGTACGATATTCTGGTAAACTGAATTAGACGAAAATGCAACCGTCGTTTACTTGCTCGTAGCTTTTCGTTAAATATAAATAAATTGTTTTTTCTCCAAGTCTTTATAAGACACCCTTTTCACATATACATACATACACACATACACACTGACTTAAAATATTAAATCCGAACCAAAACTTTTCTACAAAAGACTACATTTAATACAACATACATTCTATATTCTATTCAAATTGCACAGTCTTATCGAAAACTTATCGACTTTCCCGAAATTGCCGGAGACGATCATCCAAAATTCCTTAAGCGTATAAGACGATAGCCGCCGGTGATGCTGATCAATCTTTTGCAAAATTAATAATAAGAACGATTAATGGTGCATTTAATAATGAAATAAAATAAGGAATATATTACTCATTGTATAATCTAGTATATCTCAATATTTATATATTTTTGACAACGACAATTCGTTGTTGAACGATGGTTCCGAGTCATTATCACGTTACATTCAGTTTATCACAAGAGGTTCAAGTGCGATTTTCAATACGTATAATAAGAGTATTATGTTGTTTACATTTAAAGCTCAAATGGTGATTCTCACCCAAGGGTTATACAAATTAATCATTTTATATGACTATTAGAAATATTAAAAAAGTTAGAGATTTATAAACCTTTTCGTCGTTATAAATTTTAAATTATTTTTAAACTTATTTTCAATACGAATAATTTATAATAATTTTAGCCATACCTTTATGATTACCAACCATCCGCGGTTTTTTCTCGGTAATTATAACGACTGCAGAAATATAATTTAACGCTACCAACAACATACCTATAACTATAAGTTCTAACTTTTTTTCAATTTTATTCGTGGGTTATTTCCCAAAAGATTTTCACTCTCATTGTATCCATATAGAAATAGAAAACTCAAGGACGTTTATTTGTGTTAATAACGTTGTGTGAAATATTGCTTTTGTAAAAAAAAAAACCTTATCCTCGAATATCCTGTTGTGCATCAAACGATAAAAATATATTTTATACGACTTGAAAAATAATTTAAAATAAAATGGATTACTATTATAAATAAACGTATTTTTGACACTGAATAAAAACTTTAACTTTGAGTAGGGGTACTACACTTTAATTTTAAAATTCTTTATCTTAATATTTTTTTACCAAAATTATTAAAAGTATAATATTTTTAACGTGATTTAAAAGTATAAACTTATTCGTTATCATAATTATTTTTTGTTTCAAAATTTTACATTTTACGCATTTATGTATTAAAAGTACATGTAAATATTGCTTGCTAACTACAATGATTGTTCATGATAGATGAAAAAAAAGAAGAAAAGAAATCGAATTTAATTTAAATCTTCAGAATTCTATGTAGTGTTTCAAAATGTCTCGTGGTTAATGAATTATCTCGGATAAAAGATTTTTTTTTTCTGAAATACCTAAAAAAATCGTAGACGTAAAAATATGTAAAATATTGTAAAGATACAAAATACGGTTTACTTGGTCAAATATTGGTTTATATTAAGTAAGGATAGACATGTCAAACTTCAAATAGGTATATTTAGATTTGTTTAATGATTTATTATAACAGTTTTCGTTATCAATAATTATTTATTTTACATATTAACTTCTGGCCGCAATTACAAGTAATATATACATATATGTATTACAATCGTATTTTGATAATATTTAATATGTATAAAAACGATAAGAATTAATGCATTAAGAGAATAAAAAATGAAGCATGCTGCCATTAAGTAACCGAGACATCTATAAGGGCGCGTTGAATTCGATGAATTAAATTAGTATGATTATATACGAAGTGGAATGAGGCGGAATTAGAAGGGTGATTTTAATTGTCAATGGATATGAAGGTAGTTAATGCTAGAAAGGTGATCAGGCGTATCTACGGAGCCATTAAGAAGGGACAAAAGAAACCGGATGTCCGCTTTGCGTCGAAGTGAAAAAAAATCCGGGAATTTTTAACATATCGTTGTACGGGAGAATAATCGTGACGAGTGTACTCAATTTTAAGTATATGAGTTGAGTTAGAGGGAAATCGATATTGTACCCGCTCAAGTCTTAATTGATCTAAGCTAAGATAAGAATGTCAAACTAATATTTATATGTTATTATCTATCTATGCCACCCTCATGTTAGTATTTAATTATGTACTAGCTTTATAAAGTAAAGTGATTTAACACCTGTACAATTTGATCGATCTTTACAGTAGTCAAGTTACGATAAAAACATGGATATTTTGACATGAACTATTATTTTTTAAAAAAAAGTTAATAAATACGAAATTAATTACATTTGGCGTAATATTATGTAATTATAGTATTTGATCTGCACGTGAACTAAAATGTATGCAATAGAGAAATTTAATTTTTTTTTTATGACAGAATTTAGTTTAAAATATGAAATTTTCATACCTACCCATAAATTTAATCTTATCGGTTGAAACATTTTGTTTTACTTCTTTTCGTTCATATTTTATTTGAAAAAAATATATCTAATATCAGAACGACATAGACAATATTTGATTTTCGATGGCGTATAGGCATTGAATTTTTTTTATAGGTTCTTTATTCGGATTAGTTTTATATTTTGTCATACATGGTAGATATATTGGTCACTCGTATTTAAATACTGACACGTTGAATTGCACACCGGATTATTTCGTTTGGTTTTTACCTCAGATATAATATGTATCCTATAGTATCTACTATATCAGTGCTTTATTTTTGTTAACATTTTGGACTCATGGCCGTCTTTTTGAATTACGGTTTTCTCAGGGTGACCTGAATTCATTGCGATAAAAAATCTATTCCGATCGGAGTATTACAGGTGGCGGTGTTTATTGTTTTTTCAAAACAAGTTGATATATGAAATATTAGTTTCCATTATTCCTTTCCATTACGATAAACAGTTTATAAATCGGTTCATTATCCGTGCCGATGGTTTATTTTTTTCCCAACTGCTATTGAGATACCTATTCCAGTATACGTAATATGACGACGACGTATTAATTGAGATTTAAGTTTCGGCACTGCCAGTGTTCTATTTAGTTTTCTCGGGGGGGTTCGTCTGGTTTAATATTACTGTACATAATATATTATATAATATAGAGCCGAGTTGGAAATCTGAGGATTAGAATAGTTTGACGGGAGGCCGCAAGAATGTTTATACGAGATTGCTGCGATTTTCGCCGCGTAAATGGGCTCTTCGTAAATTATTATAATAAACGGTAGCCGAATGCGATTTGATCCGTGTGTTCAAATAATAATAATAATATTATATAATCTTATGGCTTAAGATCATATCATAATAATTATTATGACGTCTATTTCTTTGGTTCCAGGGAAGGCGGGTTTAATAGTTAATTTTGTAATTTGTTTTTTTCTTATTGATGTATACAGAATGATTCACTGAGCACGATCACTCCATTTTGATGATTACATTTTGTATGTATTTAAATTTTAGTTTTTGGAATTTGTAAGTATAGTTAAAGCAGATAATTTCAAATACTTAAATTTTCACAATATTTAAGATACCATTTAAGGTTTTTGAATAAAAACAAAAACTTAAAAACTACTCCCCCTTTACCTTAACTTTAAGTGAAATATCTCATTAACGCGTTGGCGGTAGTTAAAAATTGTATAGATTTTTCAATATAGGTTTTTATTTGAAAAACCAAAGTTGATATTACCTCAGGATACTCCTAAAATTTTGAGAAAAATCTTAGTATTCAAAAATATTGGCTTTAAATGCACTTAAAAGTTCCAAAAATCAGAATTTGAATAAATGCAAAATTAAAAAATTAGGTGAATCACCCTATATATAAATATATATATAATATAATACATTTTGTTTTATACAATTATTTTTCGGTCTAGACGGCATTAGTATATTTTCAATAACATATTATTGTATTGAAAATTAAAATATCTTCAGTCACTGCCAATGTACTTTTTGGTCGGCAAAAAAGACATAATTCATAGAAATATAACTATACGTATTGATTCATTTAGACTATTTAAGGTCATTGAATAATTTAGCCATTTAGCAGTTATACCGTTGTGCCACTTGCAAAGGCGTAATTTATATGACACCGAAAATATGTACCTGGATCTATGTTATGAATGTACAATATGGCTCGAGATACCAGCCTATAAGTTTAACCAAAATCGGGTGTACTTAGTGATTCCAAAATTAAGTTCATTTAACGACTATTGATTAAATGCCGTGTGCTGTTAAAGTAATAGTAAATAATAATATTATTGTAGCACGTCGTTGCTATACGATACATTAAAATTGCAATTAATAATTAATACGATCAACGTCGTCGTTAATATTAATTATTGAAATATTCCTATTGGATAATTTCAGACTGTTATTTGTGTATTCTTCGGCTATCATTTAATTTCTTTATTTTGGACATTCCGGTTTTTGTGTTAAAATTAATTTTTGTGAATTATCCTTATTTGTTTACCTATTTAGTTTTGTATTTTTAATCGGTCTCTAATTAAAAATGTGTATTATAAAAATAGGGGCTACAATACTTCAATAATTTTTACTTTCATACCTATGCGTAAAATGTTGATAATTCGCTCTTGAGTTTTTCAGCTTTTTCTCTGGAAATAATTGGCGGTTTTTTACATTTTTTGTTTTAGCTTTTTTATAAAAAGTGCGCACATAAACCAATGTCTCAAGTGTAACCAATGTTTCAGTAAGAGTAGTTTTTAGTGGTTTCTTTGTTACATATGGTCGCCGTAAACTACGCAAGTTATTTTTAATTATTATCAGCTCAGGTCATTCCGGTCTGTTATCTCGCTGCTATCTTGCATTATTTTCGACCGATTGTCACGACCTACATATACACCATTGTTCGCCTAAACCCTCATATTCACAGAATGCCCCATTGATTGCCTTCTTCTTCTCATTTTCACCGTTTCACTTATGCTCTATTTGTTTAAATGATGATTTGTGTTCGAATCCAGTGCTACGTGAGCAACCATCCGTTTCATGTCAAAAGTATAATAATGTGTTCACTCTAACTGCGCTTTTACTTCATTGGAAAGCTCGGAAGCTTCCTCTAATAACTCTCAATGGACTTGCAATATCTGTCCTAATAAAGATAAGTTCAGCCTTATTCTCAAGGAATTCCAGAATATTAAATCTTGCCAATTAAAATTTGATGAATTGTTGAACTGCGATAAGCACACTTAATGTTATGATATCTGAGCAAGGGAAAACCTTAGCTTCCCTCGGCAACTAAGTTATTTTACTCAATAAACAGTTCACTACAATCACGAATGTAGTTAAGATATATGACCGACGTTTTAATATTCTTAAAACCCGCATCGCAGCCACCGAGAAGACTTTGTCCGGGGAGCACCTGAATCTTCAGATCTCAGTTGTCTAATAGAATCTCAGATGAAAAAATACTCACAGTTGATATCTTTAAAAAACTTTTATGTCCCGTTGTATTTGTGGTAAACACATTTAGAATTGGAAAAAGTTCTGAAAATAGACCACGAAATTTGAAGATAGTACTCTCTTCACGTGATGTGGCCGATTTCGTGTTAAAGTCTTACCTTCACCGTCATATTTTTTTTCTAGGTTTGCCGTCTGACATCTCTATTTCACGTGATCGTACTTTCTCTGACCTTCAATTGATTCACGAGGTATATCAAAAACTGCGCACTAGATAAAACCAACGACTCACATGTCGATCTATTATTTCTTTCTAATACAAGATCTATGTTTTTACTGTTGTATTGATGAAAAGCGTGAAAGTTCTGGGTTTTATTTCCACTCCTACACTTGATATTCACCTAAACATTGAATCATCTTCTTGTAGGGCTCTCAAAGTACTAGGTTTTGTCAAGCAAATATTCTCTGAAATTAAGCTTGAATATTATTTTGACATCTCTTTATTATTCCTTAGTTCGATCTATTATTGAATATGGATCCGTATTATGAGATTCCCACAAATCGTCAAGCTCCCTATATCTAAAACGCATCCAGAGACGCTTTTTATCATTCGCTTCCTATGTTCTAAAGATTGGTCATACCCCGCATGACTATTTTGCTGTCATCAGCGTACTCAAATTCACATCACTGGTTAATAGAATAGCAGCTGCAAATTTATCATTACTACATAAACTCTTAGATGATTCAATAGATGACCCTACTCTTCTTTCTAGTATTAACTTCAGAATGCCACAAAGTTCCCTCCGTTTCCATACTCTTTTCTCTGTGCCGAATCGTCCCAAAAACTATGGTCGCAACAACCCTATTTATCATATTATGCGCATGACTAATAAACAACCAACCTTATTACCATAACTATTTTGTATAGTTTTATTATTATTTTTCTTTTAATTAAAAATTATACTTATATGTAATATGTAATTAGGCTTTTCCATAATGTTTTAAATAAATAAATAAATAAACACATATTTCTTTTCATCAGATATTCAAAATTATTCATTAAAATTATATTTATAAGCTACCTTCACTCGACTATCTTATTCATTTTTATATTTCGTTTGAAACGTAATTCAATGTTGGTTAAATTCTCATATATTTTTTCTTAATAAATATATAAATGTATATTTTTAACGCCTTGAAATAATTGTCAGTACATTTTTATTAAAACGGAGCCCTTCCAAATGAGGAGTATCTGCTCATCTTACGCATACGCATTTCCCTCGAGTTTCTCCTTCTTCCACTGAATAGTAAATTGAATTTAATATTTTGAAAATTATACGATAATCATAAATTATTTTCTGCAGCAATTCCACGAAAATTGATTATTAAAAAAAAAAACAAATTGTTATATTCTTGCATGTGACTACATGCGTCATCACTTTATCTGTTTATTGAACAGTAAAAATGGGTGGCGTTTTAACAATAATCGTGCGATAAAATATGAATTTCAATGAATTTACAAATTGTTTATATTTTTATAACAGTGTAATAAAGACTATAATGTTTTGTGCCGTAAATTAATTATTTAACTAATTTATATTTGAACTCGTTTTTATTTTAAATTTAGTTTTGTTTTTTTGCCATTTTATTTTTTTATTTTTTACAGTTTAGTATTTTTCATAATTTTTGTACTAAAACATTTTATACGTGCACAATTTTTTATAGTTCAATTGCCTAATTTAACGAACCATTTCTAGTTTTTTCGGAGGATTTTTATATTTGTATATCAAATTCGGCTAAAAACATTGCCGGTTTGAAGAAATCGTTCTATATTTCAAAGTACCTTAATGTATGTTTAAGTCATGAAATACAATAGTGCGTCTATATTGTATTTACTAACTAGTGTGTTAAATATATTTTACATGTAATTTATTGTGTTTTTATAATATTTAAATGCATTATAGTAACTACATAGTGCAACGTTTCGGTATTTCAAGTGTATTTTTCTTCGAGACATAAACGTTTAAATAAAACCAATAAAGTACATGATCTTTAAATTGGTCACTATGTAATTCTTATTATATTTACAATCACCTAATATTAAGTCTAAAATTTCAAACAACACCGTGGTGTATCGAAATTGCCTGAACGTTGCGCCGCGTTCCCTCTTCTCGTATTAAACTTACTATAATAATTTTCACGCGTTTAGGACTCGAAATTTTGCTTTGTGCCGTTCGATGTAATGATATCGACACGAAAACAACCAAACAAACATCTTATTATTGGCACGTGTCTAACAAAGTCAAAATATGACACAGACATCCGCAGAATTTTGTCTAGGGGAGGAAAGCAAGTCCACAGAATTTTGTATTTAAGGGGTGGAAAATTAATTATAATAATTACACAATTTTAGTTTCATTATCAATTTGTACATAACGTATTTGATATATTTTCGAAAAGCCAAGGGGGCAAGTGCGTTCTTCCGAATGCCTTTGATCCACACACAAACGTCGTATTATTAACATACATTTTAACGTATTCATTTATTGTTGGGTTTGGGATTTCGAGTAAATTTGGTATTTTTTTTCAATCACTATACGAGTATGGTTGTACCACACAGAATGCGCATATAGAATCGTATATCAATAATATTTTCACGATTTTTGTCCTTATTTCATATACCATAAAACAGTCTTCAGTGCGTTAAAAGTCTTAAAAGTAATAACATTGCATTACTATTACCTTTATAACGTGTAATTTCATTATACTTGCATTATATCAAATTTGTATAATATTATGTAAATTAGTAAATATAGATAATTTACATCTGGAACTAGAAAGTAATCAAAAAGTCGAATTGAATTATTGAATTTCGTTACTAGCATTTACTTTACTGCCCGAGACTACCATTGAATAAAATAAGCGTTATTTCAAACTATTGATTTTCAATTATAGTAACCCACATTTTAGCACAAATAAAATCAATATAGTCGATATTAACGGACATATACCAAAAAAGAAATTGAAATCAAACGAATCAATTGAATGTGTTTAACGTGGCGAAATTTCGGTCCTGGAGGTCTGCGGCAGGCCCAGGTTTCGTCGAAATTAAATCCGTCCGTTGATATTTTTACAAATTGAAATTTCACGACTATTATTTGTTTTATGCAAATGATACGATGAAGCAGCTATACATATAAGAGTATAAGTATTATATTATTCCACCGCCTGCTTTGACGACAATAACGCACTAAAACAACATTGATGTTAATTCGCGTTTCACAATGATCTAATGTTTTTCTCCCTGCGACCGAGACAAATAGACGATACAATTTACATAAATTATTTCTTATTTTGTTGTATAATATATTAAGATTTAAGATTATACTGTAACGGCCAAGGATATTCTCGCGTATTATATTTTCGCTAATTGAACAATTCATTTTATTTTTGTATTAAAATATTCAAATATTATACAGGATTTATCAAATTTCATGTAAAAGCCAAATTGAAAAAAAAAACTTACGTAAAAACCTTTAGGAATCTTATATTTATACTTATTCATACAGTACAATTCTACTGTACTGTGTAGTGCTGTGAAGCCACACAGTCTTACCCTGTCACTACTCTTACTCTATCAAAAATTAAAATTGGAATATCTTAAAAATGAAGTTAACGGAAATCGAATAGTTCAACACACCAAATATATTTATACTAAAACTCTAATCTATTTATAGATTATTTTCATAAAGATTACCGATTGAAAATCAAAATGATAGTCGTTTCATCTACAAAAATAAGGTTGACAAAATAAGGATAGTGAACAGTTTAAAATGTATAATTCTGAAACGTTTTTATTTAATGAAACCAGGAGCGATGCGATATTGTATACGCCTGGCTTTATACTTTAAAGTCATAATATAATAAACTATAATATTGTAAAGAGCGAAATGTGCTGTGGTCAAAAAAAGTTTGATAAATATTGATTTATAGTAGTTTCTTCCATTTTTATGCGCTACGCTAATTTCAAAATATTATTATTATTTTTTTATTTTGGAAGTTGTATTTTAATATTCAGTTATTTATTTGTCTACAAATAATATTTCTATATAATACATAATAGAGGGGGGAGGAATTCGACTTGGTAATAACTGAGCTTTGCTGTCCACGGGTATATTTTTCTCATCTTTTTGATTGTCGAGCATTATATTTTACACGACTTCTTGTTTACATTCTCTTATATTGTAGGTGCTAAGGGAATTTTATTTTAACGGTCATAATGGGCCGTAAAAACCAAATTACATAATAATAACAAATACTGCATATTTCTTTACCATGATGTATAAACGCATTATTTCTATAATTGAACAATACGGGTTTTTTTCGTGTGCTTATCATTTTTGTATTATTTATGTTCAATGCTTCCCAGATTAACGGAGTATATTCGAATAAAGATCGAATGAGAGAGGTGTATAAATATTTGAAGGTGAAGTCGATCATTAAATTCAGAACAGTTTCGTTTAATCATATCGAAAATATATATTGCTTTATTTTGAATTATAAGTTTTGAATCAAATAATACACCTACATTTTTAATTGGTGATGACTGTAGTAGACTATTGTTAGATATACACTAATTGAATATAATTGGTATTCATTTTTTTGAGAATGTAACCACTTGGAATTTTTTAATATTTTAAGAGAATAATTTATTAATTTACATTTACAAAAGGTATTTACAAATAAATCTAATTAGGTGAATCTCTATAAACTTTTTCGTTTTGATTTTACCGATACCAATTAAGAGATTTTTGGGAATTCAAGAACTTTTCCACATGTTTTGTTTAATTTCTGAGAAATTCATAGTTTCACATGGATCATATCAAAAATTGTAAGTGAATAAATACAAATGCATCAAATACCAGCAAAGTGTGTCATGACTGTTAATTGAGTATTAAGAACAAATTCAAGTTCTGGTTTTTCTTCCACTCGGTGCATCTATAGTTTCTAGTTACAATTTTTGGGTACGAGTCATGTAAAATTATGCATTTCTTTAAAAAATCTCCTCGAAACCTAAAATGTTTGCCAAGTTCCTTTTATTTTGGATTAATTACAAAATCACCGAATACGAAAACGTAATTTACAAAAATATTGGTAAAATCAAAATGAAGAAGTTTATAGGAGTTTCTACAAAAACAGATGTACATACTCAGAAGAAGTCATAGAAGTCAGTGATATCAATTCTACTGGTCTTTAATGTTCGGTTTACCAGTTATGCTATCAGTCTTGATATTTTTTGATTAGCTCTCGTATATATATATATATACACGTACTATCCGAGATAATGAGGAAAAGTTTAAAAAAAAAAAAATCACTGCAAGTATACTTAATATTTGTACACCATGAAGTAAAAATAAGACTCTGATTTTTCGATAACGAATACAGCAATTTAGTAGTCTATCGCTGCCAAACCCCGATAACGAGATATCGTAGTTTTTTTTTTTGTAGAATTTTTTTACTTGAGTTTTTATCTTTGTATTTTATTTTTTATGTTCGTATTCTCTATAGGTCTGTTAGATAATATTGTCGGGGTTTCCTATAGTATTCTGACTGTGCAACTTATTAGTATGCTTGCAGTGTCAAATGGCTATACAAGAAACCCGGTAGGTTCACTTTGTAACAAACTATATGAAACGAGTTTCTTTTTCGTAAAATCTGTTGTAAGTTTACAATATTAGTATGACTCGAAATTAAAAAAAAAACTGTACGTACCGAATTCGCTTTCGAGACATAATTATAATTACGGTTGAGTCACCTTTGGGTAGTATGTCTGCTCTAGCCACTCATTTTTATTTTTTTGTTAAACAGTATAATATATTGTAATTTAATAAGCCATGTTATTAATGTTTTGTTAATAAATTTACTGGGTGATAAAAACTATTGCAAAACAATTGACAACTTAGATAGCCATACAACGGGAATATTTTAAAATCTTAATACAATTTTCTCCTTCAATAATGTTCTAAAGACTATTAAATACAAACTAAGTTTCGTTAACTTATAACATATATGAAATTATGTTACCATCATAAATAGATTAAATCAAATATTCATATAAAAAAAAAATATGTTGTTGACTCCAATCTACGAATACGATAATAAAACTGCAACACCTTCATAAATACATACTCTTATATTCATATTGCATATTAATAGGTAAAACTAATCTATTATAATAATAAAGACATAAATACCACGACCGATGAATTACTCTTAAATTCATAATACATACTTGAGTATTACGTGGTTACTGTCTACCTATCTGTTAATATATAATAGACATTTTGAATAAAAGTTTATAACTAATAGGTAGTTTTTTGTAATTTTTTGTTTAAGTTAGGTATTTATTTTGTAAATTAATAAAATATTAATGTTAAATAATACAGTAATCATTCAGATTTAGATATACTCTATATGAGTTCTATAAATGTTACAACTCCACAGGTTTTAAATACATGCATTGGTAATATTTCATATTTGCATTTACTTTCATTAGGTATTTTAATTTTTAATACCTTATCAATGAATTATTTTTTTAATCAACTGAATTAATTGAACTTAATTTAATTTAATGGTATATTTTAATTTAATTGAAAAAAAAAATATTTAACTTAATTGAGTTAAAAATTATCATTAACTTGCCTTGATAATTTTACTATAATTTTAGATTAATCTTTAGGTTTGGTTAATCTTAATTGGTTGGTGCTTACCTACTTATATCGGTACGTGATTAATTCAATGATTTTAGAGATAATGTTATACGAATATAATCTGTAATATGCTGGACATTTCAGAGTGAAAAACTAAAAAGTTAAATTAATATTAACCAAGGTAGAAATCTGTTATTTGTTTAACTTGATAAAATTTGTTTTTTTTAAAGTATGTCACGTTAAGTAAATTTAAAATAATCTTTCTATTTTACAACAAAAATATATACAAATATAAAATATAAAATAAAAATGCTTCATATATAATAAGGTAATCTAACACATTTCATATTCATTAGCTTTCCAAACCTTGAATATTACTTTTTCTAACTGTATTCTATTGAAAATATTATATACTTTTTATAGGACGTATAGGTAATAAAAAAAAATAAAAAAAAAATTATTACTATAAGTATAATATAGAATAAAAATGGCTGATAAAATGAAATTTGATATTGCTTGAGCATATCTCTAAAGAAACTCAGTTTCATTATTCGTAATACACATAATTTATACATATAAAAAACCGTAATAAAATATTATGTTACATAGAAAGCAAAAAAAAAAAAAAGGTTTTTAAAATTCAATAACTTGGCAGCCACGATAGAATCAAATGGACTTTTTTTTACGTATAATACTTACCTACCTTATATAAAAAAAAACTTAGAATATCTTAGAATATATATGCGGCACTTTTCGCAGATATCATTAACATTCAAAATAATTAATGGCCATATTTATTGAATTACAAATTACCGTTAAATATCGAATTTGATTTTTTAATACATTGATTTTACTGTGTGCGATTAAAAAGTAATAATTGTCTGTCTGTTTACAAATCGTTTACCAGAAATCTTGCTCCGATTAAAAGAAAGCTTTTTTTTATGGAATTTCGGATCTAGTTCTCTGATTTTTCTCTTAGTTCCCGGATTTTTTCCCTGAAATTTTTTTAATAATTAGGATAAACTGGGGAAAAACCTAGGAAAAATTAGAAAAATTACGGAAAAAACAGTTTCATTATTTTGTTTTTGTTGTGATTCGATTAAAAATAATGGTACACGTATGACATTTTCACAAAATACTTAAATTATCTTTTTCTAGATAACAATAATAATAATAATAATAAAATAAAAAAAGGAATAATATAATTTTAATAAGCGAGTCAATTTATACACCAATTACTGCAATTTGAAATTTCGTTGAAAAGCACTTACATTGAACGTATGAAATTTGTCGTAATTTTTAGAATTATGATCCATCGATGACATCGACTTTCGATTCAATATTGTACTGTCATATGTTTAATTTTTTTAAATTGGCACCCTTTAAAAAAAATGTTCCATTGGTGTTTGGTATATCTATACCAGGTCGACACTGGTTATGTCAAATATTTAAAAATAATTAAGGCCTGGAACGAAAATCTTTACATTCCGTAGAGGAGACATTTGAAACTCCATGTGAATGAAATCACGGACAACAACCAGTGTTTGGATTAGATAAATAAAGGAATTATGTTGATAAAGGTACAATATAATTGATGTAAATTCATCTAGATTATCTAGTTTAAAAAATTCAAATTTTCCTAGGTAAAGTTAAAAGATAAATGACAATTTATCTAAATGAAAAAAAGTCCAAAGTTGATAGGATAAAATTATAGATTTTCTAAATTCAATTATGAAAAATTAAAAAGTTAATTAAATCTTCTTTAATTTAAGCTCGTAGAGTTTTATCCAATGTCAATTTAGTTAAATTTAATTCAGTCTAGACTAATAGGTATCGTAGTAGGTAATAGATTAAAGACTTATGGAAGAATAAAATATATGGTTTACGAGTACATAAATTTTGTTAGTATTACCTTACAATTTTTTATATTATAATAAAATTATACGTAACATAACCAGTAACATAGCTAGAGGGAGGGGGGGCGGTATTTGAACCTCTTCCTCATTGCTTCTTTTTAGTTACAGGTTAGAATAAGATAGTTACAATCCTAAATTCCCCTAGACTTCTCAACCCCCCCCCCCGAATATTTTATTTACATGAAATTTATACAGAATATTTGTAATACGTTATTAATTACATATTTTTTATATTCATTTAAACTGTATATTTATACATGATGATAATTAATTAATGAATCAGTTAATTAATAAAATAAATTAAAACGATCAAAATTATCCATTTGTTTTGTTAATAGTTATCTAATTGAAAAAAGTATACATTTTTGTATTAAATATGAATTAAATAATGCTGAAAATGCGACATTTCAAAATTTTTGTCACCTGTTTCTTCTAGGAGTTATAATTTGTACTATACAATCGCTTAACGAGAGCATATGCAGGCAACATTGAATTTTATTTCTTAATCCTCATTTTTAATAATGAGAAAATGGAAAATGGAAAATTAATTTAATAAACATAATTCATTTTTTTTTACCATCTAAAAAGGAAAGAGCTTTTCCCCTAGATATTTATACTTGTAATAATAATTTCTGTTTTACTATTATAGAACAAGTCGATTTTTGGAGTTTTTTTTATGTTTTTCTCCAAAACGAATTTCATAAAATTCATTATCACTACTAACGATTTCACTACCAGAATTATTAATATCACTATAATCGGTAAAATGTACTGAATCGCATTCTAAAATAAATAATTTTAAGAATCTTAGTGGCATTGACCATGTTCAAATTAATTTATAATAATACATTAATTAATTAAATAATTAAAAAAAGATTAAATTGTTTTTATCGTATGGTGTTTAAAAAATTGTTGAATTTTAATTTATCATTTGGTTCAAAACCTGTTTCGAAAAGTTAAAGAATTCATAGCTACGACTGACAGTGAATTTATCCGTTACATGTCCTATTAGCACTGAGATCCAGCGATAAAAATCACTGTTAACTGAGTTTTCTTTCCATGAATATATTCGATATTTTCATTGGTTAAATACAGGAATTTTGTTCACGACCAAAATACGTTGTAATGCCATTATATCTAGTTATATTTTAGTCGTGGGTTTAATAAAATATTTAAAATAAACTCGAATGGAAATGTTTTTTTAATTATTATTTATCTAAAAATCATACGAATTTTTTAGATTTTAAAATAAAGGCAAAGACAATATTGTCATACACTTAAAATTAACAATTTCCTCAGAATAATGAAAATATTTCACAATTATTTCGTATTATTTTATTTTTTGTTTTGTGAGTAAACATATCGTTGTAAAAAAATAAGTCGAGCTTTGAGAATCTCTTAAATCAACAACAGCAGATGTAAGTAATGATTACAAAATCTCATTGTGATTTTTGTTTATTTTTTTCTGATTTCAATTAAAAATCCAAGGGAGAGATAATTAAAATTCTGTATTTTTCGTTTGTGGTGTATCGAAATATACTTAAATTTACTCGTGAAAAACAATTTTCCAGCTTTTGTGCGGTCAAATAATGGCGGTGTTATTGAATGACACGTTTTTATAGTAAAACGACCGTAGCGCGTGTAGGTATTCAGAAGTATAGTTTCTATAATTTGTGTTATTACACAGCTCTGTTAATGACGTTACGACGAAAAAACTAAGTACGAACTAATTGAATTGTATCGAAACACTAGAAGCTCATTTTATTTACGGGTTTTCGGGCAGATAATTCGACACAAAACATGTTACTCAATATAAACATTTATTTCCATATACAGAGTGAATTTTTTTCTATTGTTTACGATCCAGCGATTAACTGCGAAGATTTTTTGTGAGTAAATAAATCAAGTTTGGTTTTTTTTTCTAGTTATTTTGGGAACCATGTTTAATGATCTTACGTAGAGCAAATATTTTCATCTTTGATGCAGTCCAATCTATTTCGTGATTCTTTTTATTTTAATTGCGACCATTGAAGAAAATCCCGATTTTTATTTACATAGGTTAATATTTGGAGAAAAGACTACCCCAAAGCTTGGTTACCTGACCTAGCCTAACCATACACAACCTAATGGACACCCATGTTTTTATCCATATGGATGTCTGGACTTCGGGGTCCATGAACCACCGGTTTATAATCCCCACCGTAACACTAATATCGTATTCACCATTTATGTATAAGTTATGACAGTTTAAAGTTTAAACCAGTAACATGTATACACATTACATAATATTATACGGAATGTATATACCAATATTTTCTATTTGAATTTGTGTTCAAAATGCTTGTAGTTCCTATATGAAAATCAATAGTATATATTCATTTAAGGTGTAAAGAGTAAGCGAAATACATTAAAAATAGATTTAATATAAAGCCTAAACGATTCCATAAAGATTGAAAAAAAAAAACGGAAATCAGATTAATTTCAGATCTTCCGAGAAAATCGCTGGCTTGTGATAAATATATCATCTTGAACACGGGTTAATAATTATTATTTATATAGATCTATCTTGCCGAGCGACCCATTATATACTGTACAGAAGCCACGTCGCGCGATTATTGTCACCGCGAACACTTTCTGTTTAGCGAAACCGTAAATTTAGTGCCCAAGTTTACCACAACCGTTTCGCACGCTATCGTCGTTGCCAAATTCAATTTTCCCTTGACGCTATACTGAATTCTACATCAGGTGACAGTAATTCATATAGTCACCAATTTACCAGTGATATTTTAACGAAAAATATAAAACATTGAGTAACAATATATTTTATTAGACACACCTATTTACGGAAATTTGTTGGTGTAATTTGAAAAAAAAAAAAAAATAAATTCGATAATGCCGGCATAGAAAAAAAATCCGTTTATCGTGTAATATACATATATTTAGAGAAAGATGTGTCTGCACGATCGTTTTCGAACTTAAAAACGCGTGAAAAATGCGTGTGTATCGAAAATCGTTTTTCCTCGAAAGATTGAGTATATAAAACAGCTTACGATGAACGATTTTTAAAATACATATTTATATTCCGTTTATAAATTTATACATTTAATTTATTGCCCTGTTTATAATTTTTTTATGCCACATTATATTAAATAATATCAATCTATTATTATCTATCAATAATCAGTCTAATTCGAGTAAATTGAAAATCAATATGTCATTTCCGGTGTAACAGACTAGTTTTACCTGGAGATATCGGATATTTATAGGGTGGGATTCCTTCCCAGTATAAATATCCCATACAATTTTTACTTATCGCTGTAAAATTATTCTGGGTTATTTGTACATTCTTAAATATGTGTAGGAGGTAGATAGAGGGTTAAAAATATCCTATACTTAATTTATCCATGGTAATATCAAATGATATAATTACTCTCCTGGAAAAATTTCAGGCGTAAATATATTCTAGTCTATTATTACCGCGAGGTGTGAGGGAGGAGATTAAATTAAAATAAACAGTATCGAAATCCTATGACATCCGATAATGTTGATTGTTGTCTTTTATTTTTTTCAATGAATAAATGTAACTTCTAAAATCATTTAGAAAAGAGTATGTATCGAATATATTTTCTGTTTGCGTAAAAATATTGTTTTTTAACCAAATGTTACCATTACAATCACGAAGCACTTTTGTGTTTACGAAAAAATAACGATAATTTATTTAACTTCAAAAATTGCCTTTATTCTTCTTAAATAAATGTACTCTGTTGATTCGTTTAAAATTGAAGTATTTTATATTTTTATCATTATATTGATTTTTAATGTAGTTTTCCCCCCTAAAAATTAATCGAACTATAATCACCAATGGACGAACACAATGTTAATATCTGGATATTTTTGCTACCCATCGTTTTATAATATAGAATATTAAGATTTTAAAAACCGATTACAAATTATTAACCAAACTGTAATATTATACCATAGGTAATTATTTTAATGTACACTATTAACGGTGTTAACTGATTAAATACAATTATTATTCTTAAATAATGTTATCAGTTATCCCGAGTGAAAATTAATTAACTAATATTGTAATAATACATAAACTTACCTTTAACAGACCGACGCACAAATAGTGTATATTATGTTAGGTTTCTAGAAGATTGTACTGGCACAGTGTTTGATAAGTTTATTTGATTTCCGCTGTAGTTCTGGCCGCGTGTAGTGTCAAAAAGTTCCTAATCTTGTAATGCCGACTATTGCGTTTATCTGTAAAAAGAAAAAATAATGTATTATTATAATATAATATGGTTATATAATCATCTAATAAATAGTATTTAAGCATTTGATATTTGATCTATTTCACACATACTATTATTAGGTATACTCTTAATTTTTTTTTTTAAAGAAATAAATTAATATGCAATGCATAGAACTGTGAAATGGTAGCAAAGGCATTATTCTTTTTAGCATACGGATTTTTGTGTACAAACTTCGAATTATGTGATAGCGAAAGAAATGTTGAAACGTTTATTTTAAATTTTTCGATTATTCCCCGCATTTTTCATTGTATGGTATTTTTGGAACAATCAATTTTGATGCATATCATTCGCAATTCTATTAATTTCATGAAAATATACGAGAGCGCATGTAACGCTACTGGTTGTTTCGAAGGGTCAGAAAGCAGACGACGGTATTACAGCCGTTATCTGGTTATCATCGCGAGTGGGTTAAATATTTATTCGTACCGAGAGAAGTTTTAGACATGGAATTACAAAAAAAAAAAAAAAAAAAAAAATAATCGCATGTTTCCTGTTAGCATTTATGTAATACGCAGGTTCCTACACGTTTTACTTCATACATATACCTAAGCCGAATTCACGTGCTTTTTTTTTTTTACTGAACCATTTGTTTTATGTAACTGTATTTTTTTTTACATTTATATTTCCTAGAACAAAATATTATTTATTTACGTGAAAAGCGATACGAGAGTGGTGAGTTTTAAATCGCTTTGGGTTCAGCTCATATAATCGGCTATTCGAATTTGCGCGGTTTTTTTTTTTTAATCCTTGTATACTTATGAGAAAATTTCTGTGCGACCGTTTTTGATAATGAAAACGGAATGAAACATTGTCGTTTTGTCTCGGAGTACGATTACGAATTTACGTAAACCTACTAAAACACTACTTTACTCTGGATTGTTAAAACATTAAAGATCGATAGCATTCATCTCTTATATACATTATATTTACAGACATATGGTTGACTCACGTTTTATACGTTAATTATTGTTATTTTTTTAATTTAAAATTGAATTCAAATAGTTTTTAGTTTCTATCCTTCACCCCTCCCCTCTGAAAATGTTGTTAATATTCCTCAACCAACGCTTTAAATATTGGTTGATGTGACCTCCATCCGTTCGATGATATTATTAAAGCGAGTACCGTACTTACCTTTATCAAATATAACCACTAGCTGATTGTAACGAAACTGATTGTAAATGATTTGTAATCATTTTCGCCACCGGCTGACGTTAATAGTTACATCATTGATTTAATGCTGATAACTGCTATTGGTTCTACGGTCTGTTTCACCATTGTTTAGCGAAACAAGCACACGAAGATGCATCGTAAGTACTTATATTTATACAGGTTTAGAAAATACAAAAAAAATCTGATACCGGGGACGCATGTGACCACTGTTATAGAGTAGTAGTGAAGAAGGTGTTATACACAAAGTTTTTAAATTTATACCTATTACTAATAATAAACAATTAATAATGAAAAACGATTAGTTTTGTTGTTTTTTAAATGCAATTGAATATGGTAATATTATCCATAGGCTAATCCAGCGTACTTAACACCCATATACTTTTACACTCATATAGCTTACAATATTCGGAAGGTCTTTTATAATTTTTTAAAGGAAACTACGGATGTATTTTTTATATATTTTTTTTTTTAATAAATATATAACTTGATAAATGACGCAATCCTATATAATGTATGTAAGCAGTGTATATAGGTAAACGGGACTCCGCCCAAAATCATTTTTCGCAAATGCGACGATTTATCATTGCTTTAGAATTTTCATATTATATTATTAATAATTTCCCGCCTCTGTAATCCATCCAAAACAGTGCAGTAAAAATTCGTCTTCCTCTCCTCGCCACCCCCCCCCCACTCCCCAACGATAGCCAAGAGCATTATGTTTACTTTATATTTTTTCTAAATTAATCTTACCAAGTTGATATTGAATTTTATTTTATAAATTCTAGAAATAAAATATGCAAAAACGCCTATAAAAAATGCCTGAACAATTTTAAATTTTAATGTTATCTCCCAACAATTTATTTAAATTTTTAAATTTCAAAAATGGTTATTCGGTTTTAGAGGTCGGGGTCAAGAAGTTACATTCGTTTTATGATCTATTCAAACTTGATACGAATAGAGGTACATTATTAATGGATACTATACCTTCCGGCTTACCGCACACAAGTTATTCGCCAAACACACTGACCTCGTGGGTTGGACGTTTTTGCAGTAAATTCGATATATTCTCGTTATTTATTCATCGGGTTATTACCTCGTTCTATGTATAGTCGGTATATACTTAAAACCCTTCGATTCATGATATAATAATAATAATGATAACAATATTGTCATAACCGAAAACTTTGTGCTTAATATTATAGGACCGTGTTGAAATTAGGTTTAAATTCCTATCATACTTGCGTATATATATGTTATTTTACGATTTTTATCAAACACATTATTTTAACCAGTCAATTATGCAGCAGTTTAAACATTTTTTTTAAATGTTTTGTATAATTACGTATTCTATTGTAATATTTGAAACTATTAACTTTTTAAATTTTCCTTCAAATTTGAAATCTGATTTTTTTTAAAAAAAAAACGAAGAAGATTACTCAGCAGTGTTGCAATAATAAAACTAATAAACTTGATATTTTCATCGATGTTGTAGATGTGTACAGTATAAACCGAATTCAATGATGGGAAAATAGCCGTATAAATGAAAATATTATGGTTTTCACTCGTCGATTTAACTTTTATTTTCTTTAGCTCTCGTGAATATTTTTATTTTTTGTACTTTTACCGCTCAGTCGAATTAAATTAATTTCCTATAGCTATAAAAGCTACCTACATTTATTGGTCGAGTCGAGTGTTACAGCAGGTCTCCCACGAGTATTGAGTAAATTTTTAAACAGATTGGGTTCGGCTGTTATTCTGGATTTTACATTGTTCCGAAAACGTTAAAAACATTCGCGTCGAGTTACGTATTTCTGTCTTATTATATTTTGAAAAGGAACGATTTATTCAAGTCTGGATTAAGGGGAAGGGGGATGGGGGCTACGTCTCTTGGTTCTATAAACGTAAAGGGCTAATAATTTTATCATTATATTATGTATATAAAATGTTTGTTAAATATGTTTGTTGTAAGAAAATGTACATACAATTGATATACGCAGATCTCATTTTCAAATATTTCAAGTTGCATCCCGGGGCTCACTGAACACTTAATCCTATCTTGGATTTATTTCGTAGCGATATCGATAACTTATTTTTACGTGATGTTATTATAATTTTAATCATAATTCGGATTTCGCTACATTTTCGAATAAAATATAATTGCGTAGGCACAACCGGTGCTATTTCTAGCGTTTACGAGTTGTTATGAAACGAGTTCATGAGACATGCTTCTACAAAATTAAAAAGGCCTTTAAAAATCATCATAGAGTTAAAACATTTATTGTAAAGATTATTTTTGAACGATGAATTCATTGTTTCATAATATTTTCACAACTATTCCAATCACTATCGGATGTATGAAATGATCGATTTTTAATTTTACTCGGAATAAACAAAACAGTTATTTGTACTTTTAAAATAATAGGATTAACTGCGTGCTATATAATTTCAATAGGGACAGCTATAATGTTAGTCAGATTTAATAAAAAAATGTAGTTATGATAACTATAATAATAATTGTGATTAAGGGAATTTAATACGAAAATGGAAAATTCCTTTACCGACCAATGTTATATAATATAGGTTTATAGTATTTTATAATACGTTTATATTATTAATAATTAATAATATTTGTATAGTTATTTCAACTATTGATATTAAAAAATTATTTTAACTATATTTTTTAAAAAATTTTAAAATTTTAAAAATGCAGTAACTATAAATTATTTTAAATATTACCATAACAACCAACTATTTTTATACTGTCATAATAATTATATCATTTTAGTTGTTTTACATACAAAATAGTTATATTCACTATATTTTGTTCAACTATAATTTTGTAGAATTTTTTTCCCGTGTAATATGTACATTTTTGTTTGAAAAAAAAAGCCATTATGAGGTAGTCTCAAGAGTAAAATATTTCGTATTATATGTAAATTTGTAATATTTTAGGCGTTTCAAAACTGTAAATCACTTTTAAATGCTTTTTTTGATGATTTCCTACAATCGATACGTTTTAATTTGAAATTTATTTTTGAAGATCAAAATTATATATAGAAAAACTCTTGGTTTTAGATACCACCATCGCGACGCGTCGTTTCGATTATTCTGTCAATTTCAGGTGTACTTTGTCTTACGTTATAGTTTATAATAATACGATCGTGTTACAATATATTACGGTTCGCCAAGCATCCTAAAATCCGGAGATTCTTAGTAACTATAGGTATATCTAATAAATACGCGGTCACTTGCACAGGACACTTGCCGAGATTTGTAAAATTCGTAGGTATAGGGTAAGTAAATAGTGTATAGAGTATTTTCGCAGCTATATCTGCTAGGCCGAATGATTTGATAAGCATTAGTCTCTATACAAAATAAAATATAATTTGCATTTTGTGAAGACAATTTTTCTACATAATATACAGTAACTAACGAGACACTGTTATATTATCGATTGACTACATTTGGCTAGTTAATAAATTATATATTAATTGGGAAAATTAATACGCTAAACGTTAATTGTTTTTTTAAGTAACGAAGGTGATTTCAAAGTTAATTTTAAAATTTAATTAATATTATAACTTATTAACTTATGAAGTCATTAATATATATATATATATTTTTTTTTCTTTGAAAAATTTGATTTGCTATAGTGAATATTATTAATCCAAAAATGTGTCTTTTTTTTGAAAATCAGGACGACCAATATTAGACGTTTTACTATGGGAATTAATAAAATAATACTTAATTTAAAGTTGTAGGGAGTCCATTAACAATACTCAAAAAACTATTTTTTGTACGGTGCTTCTTATTCTAAAAGTTTATTTAAATATAGACTGTACACTTGACACTTTGTTAAAATAAAAATAACACATGTTACTATACATTTTTTATTAACTTTTATAAAAACTAAATTACTTTTAAGTTTTTAAGCGAGTATTTTAAAAAATATTGTGGATTAAATATGGTCACATAAATTATAAATAGATTTAATATTACTTTTTATGAACGAAAAAGAGCTTTTAAAATATTTAATTTAACTAATAACTTTTGTTCATATTACTCAGTTTTATCTATTAGTAGATATAAACAACAAATTTTGTTCAATGCAAAAAAAGCAAGAATTTTACAAGAGAAAAAAGTTTTATTTTTGCTTATTTAGTGAATTATAATTTTCACCGGAAAACTCAGTTTGAACATAAATGGTGGTCCAAAACGTTTTAATTAATGATGAGTCCAGTGGTGATTTAATATCTACCATTCTTCCCCTTTGGGCTTTTTTTTTGTTTTGTCTGTCATTTACAGGTACCTATTTTTGACTTTCTGTTCGTTTGACTCGGCAAAGGCAAACTTGAAATTAAAATATGTTTACTCTATATAACGCACAAAAATTTACATGTTATATACGAGATAATGTTCAAATTCAATATCCCCCCTTTGCCCGTTTTACTAGGTTAAAATCTTAAATAAACCCCCGAAAAATATAAACCTCCGGTAAATCTTTACCTACTAGATCATTATTTTATATTCTGAGTGGAGCGAGGAATATAATGGTTTTACAAAGATATTTAGGTTTTTTTACATTGTTTGTCCTGTTATCAAGTTTTCTACCAAAAATTTTCCTCTGATTTTCAATTTTAGCATTTTTTCTGAAAAGGAATTTGACTGGGGAGGTACCTTATAAAGGTTATTTTTTGATTTTTCTATGAGTTTTCCTGTAAATAGAAAAAACTGGAGAAAAATGTACGAACAACGAAAAAAATCATAAATATTTCGGCCTTTCAAAACAATTTGTAACCGAACTCTACTCAAAATCATTCTTCGTTAGCATTGATTCATTATTGTGTACAGATATACATTAAATTTCTCCTCTACTTTTTCATTTTCTCTCCTACAATAGTGGTCCACCCATTGTGCGAAGTATGTTTGTTTTACTAAATTTTAAAACACAAAATACATGTACGGAACTACACTCGAATACAAGTTGAGGTACACTGTACAAACAAAATTATTTATCGATGTGAAAAGTGTACTTGAATTCGTCAAGGCAAAATAAGAACATCACTGAGTGTAGTCAGCTATTATTATAATAGGTTTTTGGCTTTTAGATATCTCCAAGTCACTCGCGGTGTTATAAAAAATGAAAAATAAAATAAAAAATAAATTCTAGTAGTGTTTTACTGAAAACAAAAATTAGCAATGGTTAATCATTGCGTACAGATATATATATATATATTAAATTTTCCCTCTTCTACCTTCTCAACTTCTCACCTATAATAGTAGCTCACCGATGTTTGAAGTATGTCCATCTTTTTTTTTCTATCTGTTCAAAACTTTTCACCAAAAAACTTAACCCAATTGCCTTCCCTAGGGGTGGATTCTAATAGCACTCTAATTGTTGCATCGACGGTGAGGTCATCTTTTAATTTTTCTTGCAAGTTTCTCAGCTCATAATTGTAACGTATCCAATGTTATTTTAAAATTGTATAATCACGGCATAATCTATGATTGGTGATTAAAGAATCAGCCTGTATAGCAAAAACGGTTTGAGTGTACAATTTTCGGTGCAGCGCACCACTCATACATTTTGGGAGGTGGTTTGATGAAGATTAACTAAGAGCAATATATAATTTTAATTTTAAAAATTATCAATAACATCAATGATTATCGTGGGCTATTATCAAGATACACCATGTAAAATGTTTGGTTTTTTATGATTTTTTTATGGTTGGTTGTCTACATGTGTCTTTGTGTCCATGCGAATTACTATTTCAAATTGCCTCTGCTGTATAATTATACAAAACGATTTGGTGTTATATTTTATTAGAACGTAGTCAGCGTTTGTAGTAACTTTTTGGTATTTGATTAGATTAAAAACTTAAATACGATGTTTTTGATACCTAATTTATTCTAGTTTAAACATTACCAAACGCTGTTATAACAAAATATAATATTACATTATCGTTGGCGATAATTTGCGCTGCGAAATTATAATTTGTAACTTTGCAATATTATTATAAACTGTAATAATAATTATAAACATATAATATTTAAATTATACAAAGTTTAAATATATTAATAAATATCCGGTCCCATAGTATAATAATCGCTGTAAATCGCTCTGAGCGTTGTATAAAATAAAATGGTTCAAAGTGAGTACCTATTTGGGGGGAGGAGAGTGTATAGGTACTCTTCACTTTGCAGGCTTTTTGAATTTATTTTTTCTTCCACACCCACAATAAGTGTTGTTGTCTGTAAATACGCGAAACTTAACTTTAGCGGGAGACTTCTCGTGTGGACGTGGATGATAATTACGTGTTTCTCTTGTGTCACACACACACACAAGCCGGATTGTGTAAATAGATAGGTAGGTACCTTATAGGTAGGTATATTATTAACGCGCGGGATTTCGTTTTTTTCTCCCGGATTTAAAATTTTTTTTTTATCCCTTTTGCTCGCTTTGAGAACCTAAGCTGCAGTATTATCCTTGCGCATACATAGTACAATGCAACAGGATCCGTCCGATATAATAATAATAATAATAATAATAATAGTAATATATAGACGACGTCACGTTGCCGGGCTGTCGGCTGTTATAATAATATTATTATACATAGTATACATATAGACATAATACTATACCGTGGACAAGGTCGAAATAATATTATAATATAGTCGGCTCCCTGTAATTACGTTCACATTCACTGGTGCGCCGCGGCCGACTACGGTTGACCTTTTATTAAAATCGAAAATATTGGCATTTCATCCTTCAAAATGTCAAAAAAAAATAGTGAAAATGGCCGGTAATATAAGTGATGTAGTTAGGTATAGCCGGATTTATGGGTTTTGTGCCATGCGATCCTAACGTATAAAATATACCTACTCGTTTTATTACCTATATATTTATTATAAAACTATATTTCGGGTCGTATATACAGAGTGATCAAAGTCGAGGAAATTACGAGTTAAAAATTTAAAAATCAATAGTTAACCGCAACTTCGCTTATATTATTAATTTACGTTAATTTCAAGAAAAAAAAAAAGTTTATTTTGAATTTCATCACATTATTAGTAAATCTTAATATTTTTTTAATTTTAACACAATATTAATTATTTACAACAATCCATACACTATTTGATTACAGTGTACCACCGAGAACCTAATATTTCTTTTTTTACTTAATAATGTGTGCGCATGTAGTTCAGAGTTCAAAATAAATACACCGATCAATTTTATTTTAAGAAAACCACACACTCTAGGTTATTTACTATGCCTTCAACAATTTTTCGAATAACAAAAAAAAAAATCAACTGACATTTTTACTCTCCTTAGTTTATTAATAAAATAATTCACAATAAACATATTAACTCGCTAACTTATTTTAGTTAATTAAATTCAACCTAGTTAATATTATTCATTAACTTGGCTCAAGGGTAACTATTATAGTTTATATTTATTAATTTTAAAGGTTTTAAGAAAAATATAATTCTGTCTCGTCACAATTATAACATAGGGAATCGGTTTACAAAACTGCATTCATAATATTATGTTTAAACAATTTTACTCTTATGCTATAACTTTTATGTAAAATCTTATTAATTTTCACGGATTATGTAGCAATCGAATTTTCTAAACCGAAATTAAAATAAAAAATTATATTTTCTAATTATACTGGTTTTCTTTTTTTCGTGGTAGTTATATGACCTGGTTTATAACCGTTCCGACAAGTATAAATTTCTCCACTCTTCTTTCTTTATTACAGTTGTTCTCCAAACACAGTTTCAGTCTACCAAGTCTTAGTTTTCCAGAACATTTTCGAATATCATCTTTCGACCTTAATTTTTGACGCCCTAATAATCTATTTTTCTATGTAATACTTTTCCTAACTGCGTTTTTTTTACCTGGAGTATAATAAACCTCGTAATATACTCGATAATATTTTATTGCCACTTGATCTACTGCAGTGCTGTTGCTATATAGTTTCGAGACACTTGACGGTATTGTAACAAGTATATGGATATCAAAAAACTTTTTTTAATAGAGTAGGTATAAGCAAACTTTTCAAAATAACGTATACGATTATTTATTGTATGCACATGTCACATACCTATTGCACGTTCAGGCGTGTATTATTAATGTGTGATTTATGTACGGTTTCCGCCAGCTACATTTGAAATTTGTTAACCCCAAAATGACTCCGTTTGAAATAGTAGATTAGAATATTAATGCTTTAAAAAATAAAACAATATAAGTTGTTTGTTCGTCATTCATGTCGGGTTTTACGGCCCTTGTAATTTTTTAAAAGAGCTAGTGTTAAATCTAAATGCTGTAAATTTGTATGAATATAAGCGTAATATTCGGTAAATTCTTTGGGGGTAAACTGCGGTAAAACAATAAATCTATTAGGTATAAAAGTAAAGGACCTTACTCCCTCCCCTTCAAATATATTTCTACCAATATATCAGTGTTAATATTATTAGTTGGTAACACTCAAGGTTAAAAAAGAGTAAAAATATGAAAATACGAACAGGAAAAATTTACAAGTATTTATTAATGAAATATAATATACAATACAAATATGTTTTAATATTTAAAAAGCTTGACTTGTATAACAGTTTGAATGGTTTTATAATGCGAATCGTTTTAATAATAATTGTAACATTAAGAAAATGTTATACATTAAAATTAAAGTTTAATTAATTTAATTATAGTTAGTAACAAACATTATTACCATGGTTACGGACAGCGGTAGACAGTGATGAGAAAAATCGTCAAACACTAATTAAAATATCTTTGACCTTAATCTTAGATAACGATGATGGATAAAATTATTAAACATTATTATTGATATGATTATTATTATCACGGATGAAAAAAAAAATATTATTAAACGATGGGTTGTATTTTTTAAATTTATTGTGTTGAAATAAATTATATTGATACTAATTTCCCTACAGTCAAATATCTGTGGGGTAATTTTTCCTTTTTGCATCTCCCTCAGAGTACGCTTATATTTATGACGGAAAATTTGTTTACATAACGAATTTTAATGAAATTTAACGTTTTAATCCCAGTTTTATTACATCATTAACATTGTAACAATCATTATTACGTAAAGAAATTTCAAAATGTACGTTCTGGGTATAAGAGAAAAATTATTACAGGCATACATACGGGTCTTGAATTGTCTATATAATGCAAAATTGATTGAAAAGTTTCGAAAAATACGTATAAAAACGTAAAAATTATGGCATGCAAAACTCATCATTAGGTACTTCACGTTTAACATTGTATGAAATAATTATTATTATTGTGTTAAGTTTTAAAAATAATATTTCCAATATTGTAGTCATAATTTATCGCAAACGATTAAATAACGATGCTATACTCATCAAATGGGCATATAAAAATAATACACAAACAATTTTGAATTTTTTTTTCTTACAGCAGTGGCAGTACATTCTCATATTTTTACAATATAAAACCACAATTTTATATTTATGGAAATGTGCCCAGTGCCCACTACATCGCTATCATAATAAAGTATAAATTATACTCGTATAACATAATAATGTTTTTGATCGATTTGAAACGGTATTTTTGTTGAACTATTTTTGTAAAAGCAAAATAAAATAATTACTGTCCGGCAGTCCGTTTTCACTTCATTTATAGATTTTTGACGGATTTGATAAGAGACGTCGCATAAAACATTAAAAAAAAAAAAACAACCGCTTGTGTTTATTAAAAACGACTGATTTGTTTTTTAGAATCCTACGTCTACTCTAAAAATAATATTATATAGTAAGTAATAACGTTAAGTAAATCCGTTCTCGATGACATATTTTAAGAGGTTGCAACCCGTATGATGTGCTGTATCCGTCCTACAAACTCACAACTTCGTATTATTAATTTTAATATAAAAATGAATTGACTTATTATATACAAGATAAAGATAAAAACGTTTTTTTATTCAACTACGTCGATATTTTCTCGATATTCCAATTTTTAAATGATACGAGAACTTGAAATATTACAATTTAAAAATACTTTATACATCCCGTCTATTAAAATTAAAATAACGAAAAAAAAACTGATGTAGTTACACAGATAATTTGAGTTAAGTTTGATAATGCGTAATTCACTTTAATATGAAAATTAACGGTACAAAGTGTGTCCCAGCTGAACGAAAATGTGTTACATTGTATATAAGTTTGTAAGATTGAAATAACATATACGGGCGTGGTTGTCTTCTTAAGAACGTACACAAGTAAATATAATATTATTTTTTCAAATAGTTTGAAATATCTACCTGTAGACATAACGAAGAAAAAAATAGTTTTAATGTGAAAAAAAAAAATACTAAAAAAGCATTAAGTGACACTCGTGCGTGATCTGTTTTTTTTTTATTAATCATGCTTTGTAGAAAAAATTTACGTTGAGAGGCGATTTTATTTTGGAGAAAATTACTTATAGAGAGCATCGGGCTTGCAGTGATTGGCTCCATAATCAAAAATCTAAAACCATTAATACGCCCTGAAAGTAGTTGCCCTCTTTCCATTAATAGAAAAACAATTTATTGTAATCAATTACTACATTGTTTGTTAAAATTATTATTAACTTTGAGTTTTAGCAATTTGTAAAAAGTCATGAGGAGGACAGTTACAACAAATTTCACGTCTTTTGCGTTGTGTGAAATAATAGTTTATAGCTCACTTCGCTACGTATAGTATTTAAACATTATCACATCGTCGTCGTTGATTAAATTATGTTATATGTTATACAAATATTGCTATTCAAAGTTATTCGACATACTTTAGTAAACTACTAATCAAAAACTCTATCTCTGTTAGTTCATCAGCCTGCAGTCAATATTCACCATGCCATTGTTTTTCGTGCAGATAATATTCATTAGTACATAAGAGCTACTGGAATTTTCGATATTTTCGACGAAGAACATTGTTTTCTGTCGACAAACAGAATCTTGAAATTTAATCATTTTATTATAATTATATAGACCATGCAACAGCGATCGAACTTGATAAGTCCCAATGTAATGCAAATCGCGCATGTGTCTTGCCGAACACAATATACCTATGTGATGCGTTTATAGATATATCTTTATGGAAATAAGGTAGTTTTATCTCGAAGTTTAAGATTTAAAAAAGGTTTTTTTTTTTTGTATATTTATCTCATTTTTTATACTCATATCGTAAAAACTCAAATTTTAATTATAATTGTATTCCTTCAATTTTAAAGTAATTAATACCTATAGTAGTAGGTAACTGCATAAGTACATACTTATAATTACATCGTAAACTTATATTATAAATCTAATTGAAAAATATGGTAATCGAAAAAGAGGCCGCGAACAAAACAAGTACCTATAATAAAAGTAGTATAAACATTCGTAAAATTCGCTTTTTTTGGTTCTTTCAAAACAAATATTGCACTCTTTTCCAATTTCAACCGACAGCAATGAGACATCTGTTTTAAAATGTTTTCTCGCTACTGCCTAACGTGATATTGCACTTAGTGCAACGACGTATAATAATTTTCCAAGTCTATAACATGCAGTTTGATTAAATTTTACTGTATTATAAAATATAATACATACGATGAAAATTATATATTATCTTTCTTTATTAGAAAATAAAATACATAATCTGATAAAAAAATAGGCCGTTTTTCATTAAGTGTTACACATTGAGAGTATATAATTGTAAGGTATAGGTTTCATTAAAACATGTATCATTACATTGCTTGTTGAAATCGCGTTAATGCAATGTCCCTGATACTGCTTTGATGAGGCGTTTTTGTAACTTAATCAGTTACATAATAGATCTGTTTATTTCTAACATGCCATGAACCGCAAAATCGTGTTTATAAACCAACATAGTATTCGAAAATACGAGAAAATAAAAATATAAAAACCGGAATCCTGTTTCTGCCGCCACCGCATATTGGACCTAAGACCCTGCCTTATCTAACCTAATTTACCTAACGCCCTATCCCCTGACCCAAAATATACACATTTTTTTGGAAATCGGGACTTTAACCTCTTCTGAATATTGGATACCATATACTAGGGGTAAAGGAGCACACGCCCCACCGTTTTTTTGTTTGTTATTTATTTCAGTGTATTTGGCGTTCTACAAAAAGTAGTTGATGTAAAAATGATTAATGTCTCCTTCCCCCCCCCAAAAAAAAAAAAAAAAACAATACAAAATTAACTAAAATATTGACAGCCATCTACGAATAATGGATTAAGTGTTAGTAACCGTGAACATCAGAATGTCTAAATAGTGTACATTTATCCATATTATTTGAATAAATAAGGGGGTAAGTATGCAAATTGGGGGGATAATTTAAATTATTATATTTATAGTGAAAACTAGGAATTGCACACTTTTTTTCTCCAAATTGAACTTCCTCTGAACAGTGGACACTAGTGCGATAGTCAGGGGGCACTGGAGGCACGTGCCTAACCGATATTGTTGGTTTAATCGATTATTTCGGTTTTTAATAGTCCTAAAAAATATTAGGTTCATTAATTTAAACAATGATTAGTGCCCCACAATCACCCCCTCTCCCTCTCAAGTATATTTATGTGTATTACGATAAACAGACGGTAAATATTCTGGGTTTGTGGACTGATAATACATATAAATATTAAAGGCTTATGTTGAGTCCACACAGAGACGAAAAAATTAAAACAAAATAAAAACTCTGTGTTTTTCAGTAGAAATAAAACATTTTTAAAACAATTGTGTTTTTTACAACAAATCGTTCGAGTTTTTATGAATATAACCGTATCTTGGACGTTGTCAGTAAACATCAAAAGGTTTTGGTTTTGTTGTTTTTTTGATGAACATTGCTGTGGTCAATGTTTTAAATTTATTTAAAAGTCAACAATAATAATATTTCGGTATTCTATGAGTATAGCGATAAGTCGATGTTGTAATTTACGTGATGTAATTTTTACAAATATATAAATACCGTTCTATTTTGTTGTAATTATTGATAATTGTTTAGTGCCGATTGGTTTTTTGTTCAATGCTGTTTAGTTCAATAATGTATTTTATAATTTGCATGTAACTTGAAACAATTATAAACTTATAATTATAATATAAACAACATACGTATAATTAGATGTATACAATGAACATATTAACTGAATCTGTTCGTTGAAAATTATTTTTACAAATATTTCGAAAAAAACTTGTTTGGAATGAAAAAAAAATAACAAAACACAAACAAAATCGTAAAAATGACTGCATTTCAAAACGTCTTGTACAACTGAACTTTCCTTAGAATCGTTTTTCGTGCTACGTCACAATCGCCCCCTCCTTGGAAATTGTTTTATTAAATTTCACTTAAATTATTTAGATATCCAATACCATAACTAGGAGTTATAAGGAGGGCGGGAGGTATAAACATTAAAAAAAAAAACGAGAATTCATTAAATACATTTTAAATTCTCCTACAATTTTTTTTTTCAGATACAATCTTGTAAGAGTTTATTTAATGATATTATAGATTACTATTCCCTTAAATGAGCTTCTGCCACTGTCTTATGTTTTTCAGTTACAAAATCACAACAGTTTTTGTATCGTCGAGATTTATATTGTAGGTTGTCGAAGAGTTTCGTTTTTCAACACACCCCAGTTTTTTTTTTCGTTCTCGATTTCGTTTTCGGCAATGATAATATGATGATGATCATAATAATAACAGTATTCCGGACAAAGTTCCACCCGAAACTATTCCTCCTACGGAACGCCGCGCCTCCAAAAGTTCGTTACCAAACGTGTGTCGAGAATATTATTATTATGGAGACACGATCATATGATTATTATTATTATTATTATTATTATATTGTATACAGTTTGCTGTGCTTGGGCCAAAGTTCAAGGGCTTCTCTCGAAATTCTTCCACGTCCCGCTTGCTCGATATAATATATTATATGTGTGTATGTATAGGTACTATGGGTACTATCGCAGTATTATCGAATTGCTCTCGAAAGCTTCGAATTCCGTTCTGTCCATGCAACGTTTATTTACACGACGACTTCGTCATATAAGTTTCTATCACTTCCGGCATGCATACCTATACAGGACCGTTCACGACACGATAATAATATTATAATGATAATATAGTATGGATGCATTATTGGATTCCAGTATTAAGTTGCCATACCAGTATCCGCTACAGGTTTCCCCGCCCGAATCGGCAAACTCCAAAACGTATATATATCCATTAAGGGGATTTGATACTGCGATAATTTTTTACTTTGCCTCAGTGTAGCTATTTAGATCAATTTTGCGTAAATTGGACCGTCGATGTAACAATGCAATACAAATTATTATGTCATCAGCGGATTTGAATTTAGCGTGAATTGTACATGTAAGTGGCCAAGCCACTTTTCGAACTTCAGTCCTTATAGTTTTCAAACATTTTATTTAAAAAGGTGAGCAATTATATAAGAAAAACTAAAATTATATCGAAAAGATCTAATTTCATGTATGTATGCTTCACGCCAAGTTCAAATTTGTTTTTAGAATTATAATCATTTCATTATATCGATCGATAGCAGAGAAATTGTTTGATATTTCTGTGCAGCGTAGTATGTGTCAGATAAAGGAAAAAAATATCGGTATCCTGCAATCTTCTAAAGTATTATCCTTTATTTTCACTTCCAATATATATTACAATAATAAAAAGTTTATATCTGTGTATGTTCGGTTCACAGCGCGAAACGTCCTAAAAGATACCTCACACGGGATTTATGGTATTATAATATGAAAATTAAATTGGTTTTTGTCGATTTATTGGTGTTATCTTAACAGTAGTGAATTTTAACTATTTTTTTTTGAATATTATATCTATGATACCCTAAGGCTTGACAACTCTGAGAAGTGAGTGGTGTGCGTTTTCCATTGTTTTAATTTTATTATCTCACAGAAGGTTATTTCCGAATTCGTCTCAGTTGGTGCAAATTTGCGAAATTTCCGATAAAATGAATGTTGGCGTTGTTTACAATTATTTACGGAAATATTAATCAATATTATTCGTTATTACAAAACCGAGTAGAATTGAGCGAGACGATTGTCCTACGGTGACCAGAAGAAGCTATGCACACCATTCTCTATTTCTGCTCTTCATTCCTTAAAGTTGTATGACGACTGAACCTATTTCCGCCTCATTTCTGGAAGAGTTTTTTTAAAACAGTCCGTTTTGTGGCGTTTAAAAATCGGTTTACTTATGTGACGCGATTTTTCAAAGTGATTAATTTCAAGAGAAGATTGATTTTATCGGTGTGAAAATAAAATGGTTTTCATGAATAATAGCTAGTTTTAGTCTTTTATTTTTTTAGCGTACCATTCAACGAATTCGATTAAATCGTATTTTCTGCCGATTGAAATTTAATTTTGTTAATTTTGATATATATGTACTACCTAGCTATAAGTTTTTTTTTTATGTGAAATTAACATAATCGATTTTTGGTTTCAAAATATTATAACCCCCTGAAATTAAAATTCAACTCCTACAGGGCGAAGTTCACTGTTGTATTTTTATTTTGAAAACAAATGTTAAAATTCGTTTTGATTACATATAAACATCGGCAAAGAAATACGATAACCACAATAATCTCTGAAACCACACGCTATTTATTCGATTTATTTTTCTGTCTATAAATATAATAGATGGTCGCGGGATAAATGGTTAAATACCCGGACAACGTCGCCGCGGGTAGGGACTCAGCTAGTTATTAAAAATAATAATAACAATAATATCTTGGGGTACGGTGGGCACAAATTAATAATACAATTTTTGCGATGGCATATCCGTTTTGACGGGTTCCCGGCCAACTATCGTCGGTGCCGTCGTGCAGTTACTCTATCGTTCTCTCCGGACGTCCGATCCCGTGCCACGGGCGATCCTGTTTCTAGCAAATACCTCAGTGTGCAAACGACTCCTTCCACCAGTTCCGTGTTCGGGGCCGGACGCCGGGTTCCGTCCGGTATTCGGAGAGTCCAACGCTCGTAGTCGGGCCGGTGCCGATGGCAAGTGCACTGGGCCACCGTTGCCGAGGGCATTTCATCACTCGATGGCATAGTTCGATGAAATCCGGAGTCTTTGGTTTTTATTTTTGTTTCGTTTTTTTTTTTTTTTTTTTTTTTTTTTTTTTGTTTTTTTTTATATATGAATATCAGTCAATCCACGGTAATAATTCGACGTCTTATATAATAACAATAATAGTCGGGTTTCGGAAAAATCTCGTCATCATATTAGAGCGAAATCACAAGACCGCAGTTACCATGGGAAAATAATCACCGGATAATATAAAAAAAAAACACAGTCTCAGCACTACGAGGACGAAAATAAATTAAGACACACAGAAGCAATAACATAGAAGGCTAAACAATATCCTATCCTATTTTTTATAAAAACCAAATATAGTTCCTGAGAAACTGATGATTTTTTAGTAAAAACCGTATTATTGATAAAGAAAAGTAATAGAAACAGCTGTTGGGAAAACCTTGAACCAGCTGGATAGATGTTATTGGTCATAGTATAGAAGACATTTAAGAGAACACGACCTTTTACGTGGCATATAACAGGGAGAGGCTTCGTGATAGCAGCAATGGTTCTCAATGGATCGACATGCCGAGTAAGAGTCAAGACGAAAAGAAACATTATATTATTAAGGATTTCGATCGAATCTGATTTAGACTCTATATTATATTCTCAAATCGTGTGACATTATCAAACGGATGATTATGTTTGATAACGCAATGAGTAATTTCCAACTGAAGGGATCATACACGGAAGGCTGGTTAAAAGGAAGAGGACGACCAAGAAAGAACTTCATTTGACAAATTTTAAAGACCTCTAGTCATAAAAAATGTGTAAATTTAAAAAGGAAAACATAGAAAATTATGGAGAAAAGTAGTGAATAGGCAATAGGTTTATCGGTCGAATTACTGGAATACGTAAAAAGGAAAAAAAAATACCTTATCAGAAAAATTTAATCGACTACCATTTTTCGATCAAATTATGTGTTTAAAAGACCATGGATATATTCGGATACTTAAAACGTTTAAAACGTAATTTTTTATCGTTTCTTCAACTATCGAAAAATATTCGAAAACATAGTTTTTATTCCACATCACTCGACTTACTAAGCAAATATTTATCATTAAATAATACAAATTCAAAATATTTTTGTTGTATATATTCAATTTAATATTTACGTCTATTGTTTTTACGATTTAAGTTTCACTGTCAGTTTCACGAATTGTACCATACAAGCGAAAACATAAAAATGTATAGGTTTTGAATGAAAAACTTGATTGATTTAAGAATAGGCAAAAGTGTGATTAGTTTTTCGTCCGTGAACAAGTATTCGACCAGAGATGTTATTGTATCAAATATTTCATAGGAATTTCCTTCTTTTTATTGTGGATACGGTTTATCAAGACAATTATGTCTCAATATTGGAAGGTCAGGTTTCTATTTATAATATTGGAAAAACTGTTAGAAAAAAAAAAATAAATATTCACAGAACGCCATCATTATTTTGTGTGTGTGTGTGTGTGTGTGTAATTCAGTTAAAAATAATCATAGAGACGTGAAATTTCCACTTAATGCTATATACTTGACATTTCTATAAGTGTGGAGTATGATTTCAAAAATATCAACAAAGTTTTCGTTGATTTTATCCGTCACCATGGTACTCGGAAGTTGGCTAAATGCACGAAGAAACTTAAAAATAATATTTTCGCGTTATCACGTACCTATAACGTAAAACACAACAATATTTTTAACGGTGTTGTATATAATAATATTACCTAGTTTACTGTATAGTAACGAGATTTAACTGTTACAAAAACAAAACGTTCGCAAAGTATACAAACTGGTATAAAAAAAAAAAAAAAATGTTTTTTTCTACATCCCCCGAGACTTAAGTCGTTTTTTCTCACAGGTACAAACCGGTGATAATATGACGACGGCGTATATTGTTAAATTATTATTTCTAATCACGATCTGCAAACATAGATATCAGTACCAAGTTAAAAGTGTAAAAAATAAGTTAATTTCTTCTATGATCAAAAAAATAACATTAAACAAAAAAAATCAATACACCGAGCCGTCGTCCTATAAAAAAAAATATATACATATAAACATGTTACGGGTATTGTTGTAAAATCGATTGATGTTATTATATTTATACTTTAAACGATTTTGTGCTGTGAGTTTAACTATAAGAGAGTAATAGCCTATTGTCAAACTCAACGATAAGAACATTGTCTGTGTTTGTACGTTAGTTTATTATTTTTTTTTTTCAATATTTAAATTTTTAAACCAGATTCGATGTTTATGATATTTCATTTTCACATACTCGTAACTCGCCTGAATATTAAAATATCGAAAAAGCCAACATATAAAAACAAACAAATGTTCTTACCTCTAAGTTTGATAATGGACTATTTATTCTAATAACATTTAAACGAATAGCATAAAATCGGTTTTCATGTATAAAATATGTATAAATATAATATTAATCTTATTAACATTAACCGTAACATATATTTAAAAATCGAACCGGCGGGCGAGCTAAATCAAATTATTCACTTGAAAAATAGTGGAGTTAAATAAATAGCAAACATATATACTTCAGTTAAAATTGCATAATAAAATACATAATTTAATTCGTCGAGTCAAAAGACAAAATTTGAAATTGTCTCGGCTAACAACAACAAATAAATAAATAAATAAATAAATAAATAAATAAATAAATAAATAAATAGACAATTTTCATTTTGTTAAATAAAATTCAATTTTCATATTAACAGTTCCTCTTTTTATATAGAAAGTCGTTCTTTTATCGTGAATTACTGATTATCAGGAGCGTAGTTAAATATGGGACGATAACTCCCGGAGTTAAATTTTTTTTTTTTTTAACTCTCAATTCATTCCTTTTGCACATACTTGATAGTCAGAACCCTATATTATGAAGATTTCAAGTAAATTTATGGTTTTCTCACCCCAGATATTGTTGAACCGTTTAATAATGATAATAAGTGTAATGCAAATCAAAAATTAAAATTTTCTTTTTCGAATTCAAGTTTGAGTTTAAAAAAGGTGCAGGATGGCTCCATAGAAATGAAAGAAGGGTAGAGTGTTTTTGGCGATATCATCGGGATAATTAAAGGAGATATTATATATAATAATGTTATTCCTCTACACATAATGTCTGGAAAAAAAAAAAAACTCAAATCAAATTTTGTAAAAATCTTTATTGGTATAGTTATCGGTCTGTAACATAATAAAAAAATTATTCTTTCCATACGTCACTATAATATTATTATCGTTAACATTCCAGAATCGTATTGATACGAATAAAACAAATATTGTGTAACGACCGAACAAAAATAATGAAGACGTTCTCACCGTCCTCGTCCGTTAAGAAGAATTATATTTTTTTTTCGAAGTCTGCAGGTCTCGTACGTGTGTGTTCAAATCTATACATTAAAATACTGTGTATATATAAAAAAAAAAAATACAGATTTTTCCGATATTGGAGTAATTTATATATATATATAAAAAAAAGTACGTGATTGAAACTCAATATCCGTGTAGAAACATAATATATTATGTCACGTGAGCTGATTATCATAATATTATATATTTTAATTTTGTACGCACGTTGTCATCGTGACGAATAAAGAATACAAATCGACAAAGGAACAATATTGTATTGTATAAACTCGTATTGGCAGTAAAAAATTACCCTAACTTAACTAAATGTGTATGTATTTAATAAGAATAAAAAAAAACACCCATATTCCAGACGTGAATATAAAAATCCGAGTTTGACCCGATTCGTGGATTTTAATCGACTTACAGGTTTTTTGGTTTACACTTACGACACGGGTTAAAATTCATATAGTTCAACATCACATCAGCAATTTGTATAGATAGATGATTTACAGATCGACGTTATCAATGTTTTTATACTTCATTTTTTTTAACAAGTCTTTATGTTTAAAATGTTTTATACACAAATATTTACAATGTTTTACACGTTTAACAATTAAATTAATATTACTAATTGGTTCTAAATTATGAAGACATTGTGTACGTAGTTCTTATTTATTCTGAAAATATAATTGAAAATAAACACTTCCTCTTACTTTTGGATTGAGAAATAACAATTTTTTTTTTTCAATTGTTTTTTGTTCGTGAATAATTGTATATAATCAAATTCGATATTTATAAGAAAAAAAGTTTAAAAAAGTTTTTGAAAAAAAAAACATGATTTAACATTTGTTTACAGTTAAATATATATTTTTAACAACAGAAATACGTTAAAAAAAATAGTTTTTCTTTTTCTACAACTCTGCGTTTAGGCAATAAATTTTAATACACATTTTAAAAATTATTATAATGTGAACGTGTACTCTATGGTGAGAAATGAATTCATCGGTTTTAGAACTCTGGGGGTTTAGGTATCAGTTTATTGACTGTCAGGATTTTGAACGCCTCCCAGGACACTAATTTCCTTATAGCAATATCGAGTTTGGATCAACAAGTTGGTTATGATGTATAAAACCCACTAGGTTAACTAATAGGGTCTGTAAATACTCACTTCGGACGAGAATCTTTCCAATAATAATAAATAGGTAAAATTTTTTTTTTTTAAATCTTTAACCATATTTTATTTCACAAGTCTGATAAATCATTCGTATGGGCGTGCCCGAGATATTGTGCTCTCAAGTATAAATTATTAATGCGATTTTTACACGCTTACTAGGGCTATTGCTGCAGTAATTTGTAACAAATACAATTTGTTCGTTTCGATTTATGAGAATTCAATTTTTTTTTTTTTTTTTAACTAATAATAAAAAAGCTCGAAAACTTGATTAGTAAGATGAGTATTTAAAAAAAAAATTAAATGTAATATTGTCTATTTTTCAAAAGCGTTCAAAGTTTAAAAACTATAAAAAATATTATTTTGCAATTTGAAACTGATGACAATTTCAAAATTCAATTTTATCTTCTCTCAGATATTTATAGTATATCATCTGTGAAGATTTATCGTTACAAATATCTTATATTCGAGACTCGGAAGTTGAATTTTTAAATTTAATATAGTGCATTTTTGTGTGGCCGGGGAAAACGAATTTTAAGTGCATTTATAACCGCATAGAAGAGTTCAAAAGCTTTTTTCGAACGTTTCAAAGCCCTTTATTGTATTTATATTTTATATCTGGGTAAAACTATAATCAGTTTTGTAATCTGCACGCAGACAAAAAAAGGATAACAACGATGTAAATACCATATTATGGTTAGGTATAGTCAAGCATACCTATTCCACATCGTTTTGTTACAATGGAAACGGATTTTTTTTCCTTTCGCGAACAATGTACATGCGTATAAATCTCCAAGCGTATATTATGTGTTACATAAATAAAAAAATAAAAAAATCCACCAGTATATTATAAGTTCTGAGAGAACTTTTTGTTTTCCAAAACGCCACCGCCGTCGGCTCATTACAAGTGCTCGCGTAATACTTCGGATTGTACGTTTGTTAGAGGCTTTTTAACTTTTCTTTTTGTTTCGGATTTTCACTGCAGCTACGCACACGTATTATAAATATATATAAAAAAAGAGAAACGTTACATACTTATAGCCAGGTGTATAATACCTTTTTTTTTTGTACCTTTCCCCCCACACTGAAGGTACATGACTAAAAATCTTTCTTTGAAAGCGTGTGATTATTTTTACCCCGTGAAAACTGACGCGTGAGCGTAGGGGTTTTCTACGTGTAGGTTTTATTGTAGATTTTGCTTCGGAAGTTTATGTAAATATTTAATTCACTAAATTATTTAATCGGTTTCAGCGATGTGGATTTTAAATACCCAGTCGACAGAAGTACTTATACGCTTTAAAGCAGTAGTTACTATACGTTAAAATGTTCATATCAAAATTATTTTCTTCCTCAACATACTCACCATATAAAAAAAGGCGTTTAAAAAATTGTACTATTTCTTATCAACGATATAAATATGCATATAGTTCTAACGCATTTCTAACACACCTACTTAAAAGCCAAAAATAACCGTTTTCGAATTAATAAATATTAATTAATATTTAACAGTGAAGGTGGTTGAAAGCCATTCATTCGAAAAGACGGCTGTATTCTCTTCCCCTTAATTGGATATTGGATAGGGAATTAGCAAAAAAAATATTATCACCAAAGTGGTTAGTTTAAGATAAAGTTTTTTTTTCAAATTATACAAAATCAGAGAAAATTTGGAAAATTCTTTCTAACTCCTATAATATATTGATGTAATTAGTTAGCTTTTACACGATGCTTCCACAATACAATTATGCTCCTATAATATTATGTGAAGTCATGATTCATGACCTTGAATTTCTGCAGTATAAATGCTCATGTTTATTTTTTTTATAAATAACATTTTATGAAATACACAGCAAATTGTAGAGAGATTACTACAGGAATCATACAAATTAAATTGTCATTAATAAACTTACCCCATAACCTTGAAATTAAAATTACGTTATATGAAACATAGCGAGTAATTCGCTGAGTAATTTGCAATTTGTAACCGCGAATTATAATCTCCCAAAACCCCGTGTTTTCATTTCCATTTATTTACAAGGAAAGCTTATTACACCTGCAGAAATCTAAAAATGTATTCTTCTTTTTTTTCTACTTATGGCATAGCTATACTCTAAGCAGAGTGTGGCCAAGGAGGATTTTAATTGTAACCTACACTTTTTCGCTTTTTTTTTTAGTTCTAGGTAAAAATAAGAAGATTTTAAATTCCTAAACTCCCCGGGCTCCACTAAACTCTCTCTATTGATAAATCCTAATTAAGTTCGATTAAGTTCCAGTTAAGTCACTGTCTCTAAGAATTTAATATAACAACACATCACCAGTCTCTATTTTGAACCATCTTTGTTCATTTTTAATTATTAAATTTTTTAAAACCATATTTTCGTGGATCTCTCGAGTTTTCCATTGGGTTGCTGTTCCCTAATTTATTCGTGTTTTGTACGTATAAAGGATGTACAAAAATAAAACTTTTCAGTTTTTGTCCAACGATGACGTTTTAAATAACCCGCGGTTTAATAAAATATAATGATATAATAGCATTGTAAAATGGTATGGAAAAAATGAAATTCAAATTATACCGTGAAAATGTCGGCGTAACGAATGCGGCGTCGTTAATTTTCAATAATATTTTTCAATGTGTACTCGTCATCATATCAACCTGCTCGTTAAATTCGTGACGACATAATAATAATAATAATAATAATAATAATAATAATAATAATAATAATGATAATAATATTATAATTATTATTATTTAAGTGTGAAAAGTAAAGTCGTCCCCTAGAGAAATTATACTGTGTTCAATTTTAATAATATTATGTGAACGTCGACCGGACGAGCCCTGCAGTCGTTTATGTATTATTATTATTATTATCATCAAACTGGTAATGCATTAGTCTTAATAAGAAGAGCTTTTAGACCGATGCCGTACTGTAATTAGAATAATAGTAAATTGTAGGTATTCGTCAAAAACAAGAGCTACTCGTATTTGGGGAATTATTGTTGAAGGATAATGGACTAGAAGTATATTTACTTAGCGATTTCGCAGCGATGTGTAATCTCGAATGTAAATAACATAGCAATACGCTAAATTTATTTATCGGGGTGAAAAACTGCAAAAGACTTGTAATATGGTAAGAAAATCCGCACATTTTTTTTTAATCCCTTTAATGGTGCGATACGATTCTAATGACAAAAGGTTTAAATTGTAGTTTTAGCTATAGGTATTAGTTTCCAGCAGTTCAGTCACTAAGTTCTTTATTGTTTTATTTTATTTTAGTTGATTGTCAACTAAAATAAACAAGAGAAACAAGAGAAAACATGAATAATACTATTCCATTCAGAATAGTCGTTTAGTTTGCAATGATTTATCGTTAGGAAACAGTATATTAACTAAATTACCTTGTATAATATACCTTCTTAACTATCAACCAATAACAGTGGCTTACTCTTTAAGTAGTATCAACTTTTTTTTTACTTGACTATTTTATAGTTAATATTATTTTTTTGGATCACAGACATAATATTAACTAGTTTAGTTTTCGTTGTTTAAATTAAACTTCCAGGTGTATCAAGTTCATAGGTTGAAAATAAATTAACGAGTCTGTATTTTTGTTAGGTTTTATACCTTACGAAAACGCTATTCTTTTTATTAAGATGGGATATTTTTTTAGAACACCCGTTTTTATGGTTATTAAAAATTTCTATATTCTCGACAATTTCTCTGGAAAATTAAAAAAAAACTAACAACAAATTATGTATAGGTTTTTCTTTGTCAATTACTTCTACTAAGGGAAACACCACAACTATTAACTAGTTTACATAACTGCGTTTAGAACCATTTTTATATTGCAATAATTTATCATTGCTTTCAGTAAAACACTAAATTACCTAAATATCTTATATATTTCTACTTACAACAATGATCTACCCATGATGTGAAATATGTTTTTTTTTTTTTTTTATCGAATTTTGTCTACCCCCAGTATTTGTATGCCTCTAAAATATTGGATAGTTTTTGTTTTTTTTTTTTAATTTAACGAGTTTTGTTTGTTTTTTTTTAACTAAAAGCTCGTTTAAACTATTTAATTCGATTTTGTTAATTATTTTAATTTACGCATTTTTAAGCTATAACGATTTTTTTCCACAGACAGAAATATCACACACACATACACACATATATAATCGTAAATCATCATAATATTATCATAGTAAAGTATTATCCGTTCAGAATCATGCCGAACTGATGCAAGAATAAAAAAAAATATAAATATTATATTTTACGTACATTCCGCTCGTACTAGGAATTCAAAAAGAAGGTCGTCCTGATTCAACCTCAAAGCAAACGTGACAGCACCGTATCGGATCCGAATGTAAATGAGCATAATATATACCGTCGTAGGTAGTGCATTGGTTCGGAACTTTATCGAATTCGGTCTATATCACGATTGGTCGGATTTCAATAACAAACACCGTGGTGACGGATATTATTGTAATAACGATACTGATTTGCCGCATAAAATTATACTTTACTATGTTCTAGCGTTGAAGTTATAATAAATAGTGAAGTTGCACTCGTCTTTGGGCCTTAATCTAACGAACAGCGAAAATAACGTTAGATTAGGTGATAAGAAGCACTGAAATATATTATTAAAATGCTTTAAAGTTTTGAAAATATATGTAGGGTGATATTTATTTATCATATGAACCAGAAATTTTCTCGGAGGATATAAGTAAATTTGATTGCTATTTTTTTTTTTTTTTTTTAATCATTGTAGATCTTTTTAAACATTATTTTAAAACCATTCTTTATCCCTACTTCATATACCTTAAATAAGTAATAAATAAAGTAATAAATTGTATATCTATTTTTAAATGATGAATTGATAACTCTTCCCTACTCCTCCGGTCTAAACTTTAAATGGTTAAGCTCATAAACGATAAATTTGATATTAGTGTTGCGCGTATCAAAATGTCTAGAAAAATATTCTGCATTCGAATTTGTGTTCAAAATGGAGAAGATAATATTTCAGAAACAAAGTACATACCTATTTAAGGTATATGAAATAGGGATAAAAAATTAAAAATGAGTTTAAAATAAAGCTTCAATACTCATTGGTTCCACAATTATTGGAAAAAAAAAAAAAAAAAAAAAAAACAGAAAAAAAATTCACAAAACACTTTTCTCCTAAAGACATTATAAAATTCATATTGAAATTCAACCCAACTCTCATCACCTTAATCATCGAGTAAAACAACTGTAATTCCCGAGTTTAAGTTCATTTGGTTCTACAGAGAAAACCGTTATATGTGTCTAAAAGTAACGGGAAAATGATCAATATTGATATAATAAAGATATAATAACAAATTTTGTCAGTGTAACAATGTATTTTCTATTTCCGGCGAAAATTCAACAAACATTATTATGCAAAACATCCTGTACAATTTGTACTCTGTTTCGGGATTAATACCTACGAATAAATCTTAATTATAATTATAATTAATAATAATATACCGTCAGTGGTCGGTTTGGTCAATTTACCGCGTGTGTTACCTACGGAACACTCTAAAGCTATTCGACATTTTCCTCAAAGGTACAAATTAATTTCCAACTCAATATGAACTTGATCCGAGTTACATCGAAAAATCGAAATTCAATACCGAGCGTAAATACATTCGCGCGCGTTTTTCCGCCAATTTTTCGGATTTTCGGATGCTTTTCGACGCATCAGTCCGTACATGCTTTCGGGAGATGGTAGTTATATACGTATATTATTATATTTTTCCGATCCGTCTGTGTTGACAGTAAAAGCATCGAAACGATGATACAGGGTGATTGTATCGTCCAATTTTCTTTTCGAATTCGAGTCAAAAAACGAGGATCACTACTTAAAAATCAATATAATAATGTTATTTTAACATTCTTAACTGGCTTCACTTTTATTAATGTAACAACCGTATGATGTTGCGAAAAATAACATTATTGCTATCGACCAAATTTTACAAGTAAACTAAACACCGTCACATTAGTGATGGTCAAATGGTTTTTTCGGTGGGAGAAGATAAGGCTGATTTATTAACAATTATTTTTATACAAATTATTTTCTTTTTTGTATAAATATATAGGTTGTGTAATACATAATGTCATAAATATTGAAGGCAGCCCAGGAATTATCAATCGGAAGGGATGTAGCAAATTAAAATCATGAACAAATCATAAATTCGTCGTCTCTACCCAAATTGACTGGGAATTGGTACCTAATTTAAAAGCAGGATCCTAAAAAAGTCTTATTTCTAATCAAAATTTAAAGTTTTTCCTAGTAATATGACTGAAATATATGTTTTTCGACATTAGATAACACATATATTTTGTATTTTAAGGCATTAGGAGGGAACCTCTAACCATCCCCCCTGCGTACGTCACTGATTAAAGGGATAAAGAGATTAATCTTTAGTTATTGGGACAAAATATAAAATGTAAATAACCAAAATCGTATGAAACAACTTTTTCGTATGTTCTCGTTATAAAGCAATCAGTGGTTGGACTTTGGTTTTCCTTATTTTGTATCAGTCCCAAAAGTCATGAAACGTCCGAAAAATGTATAGGAAGATGCCAAAAACCAAAAGTTTGACAGCGGATTACTTTTAAATGGGGAAATACGAAGAAAAAAGCATAATACGTTTTTGATACTTAAAAATGTGTTCTTCTGTTCGCCATGTATCACCGAAAAATGTTACAGGGGGGAATATAGCCCTTCATCTCCCCAGGTCTAATCAGGTTTCGTGCTTGTAGAAAAAACCAAAAACAAATATTTCTATAGTAATTTTCGTAGAATTTAATGAACCGCTCTGTATAATATCAATTTATACTTCTTTGTCTCTAGTTACTGTTATAAGGAAAATCTATCAATGAGATTTAATATAATGCCTCTTCATAGGTTCCTACCTATACATATCGATTTTTTGACGGATATTAACTATTTCGAATGACGTCTTTTCGATTACGGTGTTTGTCTGTTGTTTTTCTATACCCAAGATGGGTTTTAGTTTTTTTTAAAAAACCGCGTTGTATGTGTTTGTGTGTATAATTTTTTTAAAAAGAATTGTGGGAAAAGAACAAATGATCAGTTTCGCACACTTTTGACAATCGATATTTTAAAAATTAACTAAGGTAAATCACGTCTTATTAAATTATTTTATAATTTTTCATGAGTTAGTAATAAAATAAAATAGTTGTACACTCGAACAATAAATTAAAAAAAAAATTCAATAAGGGATAGTGAAAAACAAAATGAAAACATACGATGTTGATGGTATCGTAAAAAAAAAAAAATATAAAATTTAAACGTTTTCATAATATAAAATATTAATTTCAAATTTCTAACATATCTGTATTAACAATAAATGTGTGTACGATTACGACGGCCACTGTTGCTGGTGGCCCGACAAGTTCTTTACACTTGTCCGAAGGCAATTTAAAAATAATGCATTGGTCATTCGGAATCAATTGTATAGAAAATAAAAGAAATTCGATTTTAGAAAATCAAAATAATACAATATTATACTAAAGAAATTGTTACAATTTTTTAATTTTGTCGTAGCTCGAATCTTGTTTTTTGTTTGAATAGTTACGATATTTATTGTTTCTTCTTTATATTTAAAGTAATGAATCACCCGTCTCATCTGGCAGTAGATACTGTACTGAATCCATAGATTTCATTCAGTGTTGACATTATAATTTCAGAGTATTGTTCAGTTCACTCTGAGATTTGAATGCAAAGCATTTTAATATTATAATTATTATCGTCTTATTATATTATGTTCGATTTCAATGGTTCCAACTCAAAAGTAATTTAATAATAATTTCATTTGTCTTTTGTTTTCCTTTTCCTATTCCCTTTTTTTTTTTTTTTTTTTCATAAATTTTTTCCGGTGATTTCAATTATATTGCATTTAAACGTATTTTGGATTCTGAGTGCAACAATAAATTTATTGTTTTTTTATTATGATATAATATGTGCTTATTTATTTTATATTTTCTGCCTCTAAACAACTTTTTTACTAGAAATCTTGCTCCGATTTTTAATTTTAGCATATTTCAGAAAGCAGTTTTGTCTACTTATTGTATTGGTCATCTTTTGATTTTCTTTGTAGTTCTTTTGATAAATGGGAAAATATTTTGCACACCTACTATTTTTCGATGTATCCAAAATAATTTTTTTGGCCTAGCTCAAATATTTAAAATGAGATTCATCACCATAAGTTTTAAAGATTATCGCTCAGCATTTTTTTACGTTTAGCCATGATTAATCGTTGCACACGAATATAAATTATATACATACTTAATGTAACCTACTAGTATTAACTTTTATTCTTTTTGTTTTTAATTTTATTTATACAAGTTTTCATCGGTTGGCTTTATTATACTTTGAGATAATATTACAAAATATATTATGTCCGCCGATAAGTTCGCATACTAAACTTAATTTTTGTACGGAATGTTAAGAGTATAATAATTAAACTTTTAAATTTTTAAACTGTTATAACTATTTTCGATTACAAAACCGATGTTTCGAAAGTTTTATAATTTATCGGTTTTTGTTCCACGCCCAACAAATACTGTTGTCGGCAATTTTCAACTTGACACGTAATCGTCTTACAATTACAGAAAATCGCGTTTGTCGTGAATTATATTTCGTTGTGTTTCTATAGAAAACCGTATTATTTTAGTCATGTTTTATTAACGGTAAAAATGCTAATATAATATTTATAGGTACCTGTAATACGGTGGCTCGCGGTTGTATGCTCGAAAGTCGTGGCAGAGGTTAATGTGGTATGAAAAAAAAAAATCGAAAAGAATGAGCAGCAGAAGTAGTATAAAATCGATACGGTATTATTTTATTGTGTTATTGACACAGACCGCTTTAAACGAATTTATGCACCGATATCTGCAAATAATTGTGCTCGAGTAGACCGCTAACTTCAGGGGATTATAATATTATCGGAGAAGAATAAAATATTTTATTATTTTTGAACAACGTTATTATATTACCGGAGCGACGATCTTCGCCGATTAAAATAATATTATATTCAGTGGCGTATATGAGGAAAGGCGAAAGAACAATCGCTTCTCTCCAAGATATATTTGTAAATCATATTTTATGTTTTTCGAACTTATAAGCGTTTCTAAATTTAATCAATAAATAAATATTTTTTTTTTTTTTTATAAGACATTGTTGTTATTGTTTTTTGATGATATTCGTGTTAATAACAAACAACATTATGGTCATTTATTGAATATTTATTCCAAAACTGGCGATAATACTTTTCAGAAAACGGAGACCTGTGTTTGTATTTTCTAATAGAATTTGGTCTTGGTACGTATTTAATTAAAATACACATTTAAAAAAATTATTTTTTATCCGGCTAATTTTGAAATGTATACTATTAGTTATTTCCATTATCTTTTATATCGACCCATGTATAGACAAATTTAACATATGCAGTTCATTAGGAATTGTTTTCTTTTGCTCAATCGTTTTACTTTTGGCTTTTTCATTTTTTCTTTTATTTGAATTTTTTTTGTTTTGAGACGATACGAAAACCATTTTCTCCTTGTTTCAAAAACTCATATTACCCACATTGAAACCAAAAATAATATTATACAATGACTAGAGGACCTTTTTTTTTCTCTGCATAATGCACCAAATTTTTGTTGTGCAGGGTGTAATTCAAATATTCACCTTGATAAAAAACAAAAATAAATAATAACATCTGTGTTCGTCAAATTTTCTATGTATACAATTATTGAATGCCAATTGTTATTATATGTTTACCGTCTCGAAATATATTTTCTGAGAATAATCGTAAACAAATCTAAAAAAAAAAGATATAATAAAACTATTACTATCACTATCCACTCAAAATATATAAAAGAATAAAACAATTTTATTTTTTAATAATAATTATATTACGTCATCATAGTATGTATAAATGCAATCGATAAATCGATTCATAACGTAATAGTGTGTGGTATTTATCATTTCAATTTTTTTTTTTTTTTTTTAACAAAACAGTCGGAAAAAAGTCTTGTAGTTAACCGTTTATGAGTGCAAATTTTTTGAGACGAGTTCGAGCACGCGATTCGGGAATTTTACCAAAGTCGAGTATGCGACCAACTCTAGATATTAATAATAATAATGTTTTCATTTTTATTCTCGTTCATAGGACTCGTGTTAATAACTGCTATCACGTGGTTATCGTCCGGTTCGTGTGTATACAAAATAATAATAATAATAATAGTATTTAGCTATTTTATTGGGTTGTTAAAATACACATTATAATATTATGTACTACACGCGATGTAATTTCGTGTTAATTTCATTATATGGGACGGCACGTTTTCCCGATGCTGTCGATGATTTTTCCAACTGTCGACAATAGTATTTTACAAATTTATTTTATTAATATGACGAGCATAACGAAAAAACGGAGGCGTATTAAATAAACACGAGCACTCGCGGTACCCAATGGCCTTTTTTTTTCGATCAACGACCCAGTTGACATTGTATATTTGTTATAATAATAATGACAAAAATCCAAAATTATTTTCTCATACCCTCCTCCACAACCAAAAAATAAATAAAAAAAGAAACACTTTATTTAATATATTGTGTTTCTAACGTGCCCAGACAGATGTGGACTGGTCCACTTAACTGTTCTACAGCACCAATGGGCCGGTGCCCTTGCAGTAGAACCTATCTCCTATCTCCCTTCAATCGACATGCACGACATAGACATCACACGACAAACACGTACGATAGGATATCACGGATGGTGACCCGGCATCAACACGCAGCATTTTTGACGACGTTTAGTGGATGTAAGGTTACAATCGTATATTGTATATCTAGTTCTACAGAAATTAATTCTTTTCCCCCAGAAAACATTTTTACGGTTAGTATAAATACTCGGATTTTTTCACGCGGTAAGTCTCTCAAAATTTGCGCGTCTAATTTATTTGAAACATTTATCGATATAAAACGTTCACCTAATTGAAACACAAACAAAGTTTTTTTTTTTCGGTATTCGATTTTGTTTATTTCCTGGTTATATCTTATTGGTAACAAGGGAAAAAACACGACTAACATGCATTAACTCGATCACAATTGTTTTTCGTTTACAATGATTTATCGTTGCATACTGTATATTAACTAAATAACCCTTTATATCCTAACTATACAACAGCGGCCCACCTAGGGTGCGGTGTGTCAGTTTTTATTAACCGAGTGCCGTTTTTGCAGCAGAAAATGCGGTTGTATTTGACAATTTTTTCTACTTATGTAATCAGTATTTTGCATTTAAGATAAATGCAATTCTTAATAAATATCCATCACGGTGTACCGATATGATTATCATTATTTCAAACTAATAAATAATTCAATTTTTTTATTTTTAAAAAAAATGCGTACAGTATTTTATGGGTGTTATATAATACGTCGTGTATCTGGCTAGGTGTCTTTGGGGTTTTATAAGTTTTTCGCGAATTCTCTGAATTCATCCACGTATAAACATACTATACCGCCGGATTTTTCTTTCTCACATAACACAATACATGTATAAACAATTCGAAGTACTTATGTAAGTATAGATTTTGTGGTGGAGGAAGGAGATAAGGGTAAACGCATGTCCGTTACATTATTATTATATATAGCAAATATTATGTATGTTCGTTCGGATGATTCGTTGCCGTGGTAACCCACGCTGACACTCCGGCGTGTGTTGATTTTATGTGTTGGAATTTGTCGATTAGGTTTCGGGTGTTATTGTAATGTCGAAATATTTAATAATAATCTACATGCATGCACTATGTTGTGTATGTTTAATAATATAACCTTGCCGAAATTCCGCTTAACAATGAATCTATTTGGTAAAAAATTATTTAAATCGTGTTGGACAATATAACATGGTTATAATTATGATTTAAATGATTTCAATGATTTTTCTACACTATTAAAAAATAATATGCGTAAGATAAGAAAATATATTAATCGGGCAAAATTGAAGGCAAAAATCGGCCAATGGAAAAGTAGCTGGGGACGTTGAATTTATAAGGTAAATAAAGAATGTATTGACGTTTTCGTTATTGTATATTATTGACACACTTTCGACTCGGTAAATAAATGCACTTGTTGTGTTAATAAATATAAACTTATACCCGGTCAGGGGACAATGGCTACTTAATTTTTGATCTGCCGTTAGACCGGGTCGTTAGTTTGATATAAGTCAAACTTTCTAGTTTCTGTGCAGTGGGTACCTATCAATGGTATGTTCAAAAAATTAATCACTGCCGTTCAAATAATATACTTTTTAAACAGATCCGACGTATGCGACAATCGGACCTTGTCAAATTTTAAAAAGATATCTACTCTGTATAATGTATTATAACTTATATTTTTATTTTGAACATTTCGCTACACATTTCATAAGTACACCGCGATAGTGATTTTACTAAGTAAGGCTTCAACAAATTTCGAAAAAAAAAAACAGCTTACCAAGCGTTTAAAATATTACAAAAATACACTATTAAATAAACTTTTAAGATTTACAATTCTCGAAAAATGTATTATAAATTTGTATTAGATTTTCAAGAGTTATGGTTATATTATTAGTCTATACAGAAAAGACATTTTTACAGTGTATAACTGAGAATTAAGAAATTAAGGTTTTATATGATCGATTATCTTTACATAATTTTACGAATTATTTACCAAGTTTTTCGAGTTTAGTTTACCCATAATATAATTTGTGTGTTAATATCTTCGTTGAGAGTTTCTTTTAGGGGGTGGTGTGTATGGTATAGTCACATGAATTTATAACTTGTTTCTTGCAAATAGCAAAATGCTATTGAACAACAATAAATATTGCTACTTAATGTTTCAGGCGGTCTATAAGGTTATACGAATGCTTAAGAAGACTTGCAAATTATTACATTTAGACGGAGGCTCATTGATGGTGATCAGATGTGAGCGGGTTAAAAATGCGTATCCTATTGTGGCCTATTCTTGGATTTAATTTTCTAATCGTAAAATACTACACTTTTGTACGGATATAATCAGTATCATAATATTATGGAATATACAAAAATGTTTAAACTCACGGTACAGAGTTATTTTTCCTACGAAGAGAAACGCCCATTTTAACGTTTATAGCGAGTTTCCGATTTCAAGTGAGTAATCGCATATGAAATTGTCTAATCCTGCAAAATATACACTCTGTATGTTATTACTATTGTGAGTGCCTACCTGTACGGCTGTCACGACTGCACGATGAACCCTTCGATTATTATTATTATTGTTGTTTTTATAACGTCACGTCACAATTAATAAAATTATTATGTAGGTAAATATTATTCTATTAGCTTATTGGGTTTACTGTGCAAACACCGCTCGCGCATTGGTCATTTGTAGGACTCCGCAATGACGTTTAATAAATACAGATATTTAAATCGAGTTAAGTTAATTAAAACTAATATAATTATTAAATTATCCTTTCGCGTTTTAGTCAATCGGACATTATAACATAGTATTATATTATAATACAGATTCTTGGTATAACGCTAAGCATTTTACACAGACGTTTTGTTTTATTGGAGAAAACCCGAACGGTTAGTAAAAATGCTCCGATTTTTGATTTTTGAATACATCTATTATAAAATGTATAGATGACAACATTTTGAAACAAACCCGGCGATGTTGCGTAGATTGGGCGAGAAACGAACCTTTCCTTTTTCAGTTAGTGTTACTTTTCGGCCATTCCTTAAAAGAATTTTCGGCCAATACACTATTTTGGTTACCAATGTCAGATTATATCGCTTCCTCTGTGTTTATGTAGATAACTATTTAGCATTTTAATATTTCGATTTCGTATAGATATGATATTTTAATGAACAAAGAGCTGAGACTGAGGACGGGTGTAAATTCCCTAAAATATAATATTCAATAATCGTTACCGAAAGTACAACAAAATCGTCTTTAAAATTGTATTTTTTTTTTTTTATTAATATCGAAAAAAAAAACCGCCTACGAAATTGTTTCCGTCTACTAATAGTGAAATAAGTGTTTTCAATGTTTTCATCTTGAAATTCGATTTTAATAAGGCATTTTCATTTGTTTTACCCGAACTTATTTTCGCTATATACCCAGACGGAGACATCAAATGCCATTGTTAGTTCATCTTAAAATACAAAATTAAAAAGAAAAAAAAATGTATATATATATATTTGTAAAAAGATTACAAATCATAGGCGTGCGCACGAAGAATGTCATGCAATCCCCTGCTGATCCTTCTTAATCCTTAGCTTTTAGTTGTTAGTTACTTGTTTACATTTAAACTTATTTTAAGTTATTTTAACAAATAGTGGTTTGATTATTTCAATAAAATATATTTTGCAATATTTGAAGTTTGAACAATATCTATTATTCATTTCATTTCATCATAAATGCTATAAATAAAAAACGTTTTTCTTGTGAATTAACAGTTCAACTATATTTATATATGCTTCCCCCTTATATATTATATTATAGTTCTTAAAAAAAAAAAAAAAAATTAATAAAGCAAATTTTGATTCATGTCCTTTTCAAAAGAACTATTTATACTTGATATTAAGAGGTATGAGATAATTGTTTTCAAGTAACACACTAGAGTTATAAATGTTATGATTGCTATGAGTATGAAATATTGAAAATAACGTATATTTTTTCCTGAATATTAATTCTTGGTTTGATTTTGTAATAGCATGTTTTATTATGTCACCAACTGAATAATATCGAGTAGTTTTGAATTCATTTTATAATTTAATTATTATATTCTTTATTCGAATCGGCCTTGTACCGTAATAAAAAAAAAAACAAACTCTTATGCCAAAAATTAAAACCGATTGAACTATTTGTTACATTGGGTATTGTTAACTGTATAGATATTTTCATTTTATTATTAAAAATGTATAAAAAGCTTTGGGCAGTTCTTAACCGTTCAGTGTCTTAAGTTATTATGACTGCCTAAGTAACGATTATTTGAGTTTTAAATTAAGAAATAAAAGCTTATAATTTATTTTTATTTTTCTTCATAATATATTTCACATAATTATTTATAAAATATTTCAAAAATATAATTTCCAATGAATTTTAGAACTCTAACTATAACTATTGAGGTAATTTAAAACACCGATAATTCTCTGTGAAAAAATTCTGCGCTTGCCTATGGGTTATATCAGTGGCGTACTTAGGATTTTCCCAAGAAGGGAGATATTGAATTTTGAAATCGTATTATCTTGAAACACATAACCACGTGTCTAAAAGCTATAAGAAAATTAATTTTAATTTATATACTTGTGTAGATAATTTGTTATTTAATCTGCCCTAAAATTATTATTTTATTAATCAAATCTCTTTCATATATATTATAGTGATTCGAATAGGTTTCGTTTTATAAGAGAAAATGTATACGTTCAGGCTTTCTCCGATAAATTAACTATAGAATAATAACAACGCGTTTTTTTATTTTTCTGGCTAAAAAGTGAAAAAAAAAAAATTGAATTTGTAGAGTCTACTTTAAATATAAAGTCTCTACTAGAGTCCCTTTTAAATATTCCACTGAGTTACTTAACATACAATATTATAATCTCGTTTCACGCAATAATTGTTAATAATATTCGGTATACATATATTGCTGTTCGATAATAACAACTATATGCGATAATAATTATTCTACACCAAATAACTTAAAGGTTTAGACTGCGAAAGAGAATAATGTATCAGGTATAATGAAGTCAATACTAATGCGACTTTTCAATACAATTTAGACTTTGCATTAACAATTCGATACTAATACGAAACGCACGTTCAAATTCTATTTAATTACAATTTTGTTTATTTTCGTACAGTCATTTTATTCGATTTGATAATCGAACGAAAACGTATTTGATTTGTTTTTTTGACGAGACACTCGAATTTAAGGTGGATTATTGTCTTTCCTAGTAGGATGAAACTCGATAATAATTACAGAATATTGTTAACTTATATTTTTGTATGTTTTAAAAAATTTGTCATTATAAGGGACTATATATATAAAAAAAAAAAAAAAAGAATATCAGTTTTCAATATTCGATTGGGTGAATATAGCTGATATAAACAATATAATAATCGATATTCGATTTTTAATACCATTGTTTAAAAGTAAAATAAAGTATAAATATTAAAATATAATGTTAATCATTAAAATTATTTATTATTACAAAAAAAAAAAAACATAGTTCAAAATTTAGATGTAAAAACACATTATAAAATAAAACAATCCAAATAAGAATTTTAGAACAAAATGTATCGAAGGTATCGATTTAAGTCCCTATTACATAATACATATATATACTTTGAATTTCATGATTTATCGAGTAATAACAAATATTTAGTAAATGTTACTTGAGTGTTACTCATTTAAAAAAAAGAATCTCTCAAAATGTTCAAAAATCTTAAAAATATGGTGAACACAATATTTGTAATTCGGAATCTATATAGCAATATTTTATTTTGATCAAAAGGTATAAAGATATATTTTAAAACATCCGCCACTTATTATTATATTTCTATAAATATTTGACTTATAACTTGAACAGTTTTCGTTTGAAAACTTGCAGGAAGAATCATCTTAAAAGTCAAGGTTAACTGGCGATTGAAAAAATGTCTACCTCTATTTAATCACGTCGAAATGTTGACAGGTCTACCGATAAGTCTACTACCTTTTACTATATAGAACATAATATAACGGGTGACCGTCGATAAATCAACCGCTGTCCTTGTTTATAGTGCACTTTGAACAATTTCCTTTTCATTATTATTATTTAATACGTAAAAATCCACTGCGGGAAAAGTGTTGATAATTTGTATATATGTATATTGTAGTAAAAAAAAAAAGTTAAAAATTAATTCCGTAATTTCGTTCAAAATTAAAATAATCTATTATTTATATTTATATGCTTAAACTACAGATTTATTCAAATTCTATTTTTAAAAAAAAATTAAGTTGTATAATATATATGTATAGTATACATGGGTTATATTTTCAAATATTTAGATTTTTATACGATTTTTGTGCATATCATTATTGTATGATTTTATAACATTGGAAGAGTTTTAGCCGCCTTCACTCCCCTCCAATAATCTTCACCACTCATATTGTCCCTTTTAAAATCTTTAAATCTTACTGTATTCAATCTGTTTTTCAAGCCTTCCTCTGGGCTTATCCCCTACTAGCTTTCGTTCGATTGTCGCTTTTACTTTGCTTATGTTTCCTCCTTTCGTGTGCTGTATCCCAACTAGCAAAGACATTGTCACCCGTTTTTCGTATGTGAATTTAAAAAAAAAGCTCATTAAATATCATCCCGTAGAGCAGTATAATTTATTAAACTTTATTCTAGATAAACGAGAAAAAAATGATCAATTTCAATACGTTTTTTGTTAAATATTTTAATAAATAAATTGTACATTTAAAAAAAATAAGTGGTTTATTTTTTTTTTAGCATACTTGACAATTAAATTAAATTACGGAATGGCTTTTTCCGTGAATTTGTCATTGTTCAAACTTTAATTTATAGTTTAATTTTCTTTTTTTCAACGTCCAACATTGTTATTTCAGTACTCATCTTTTTTTGATATATGAATTATTTTATTATTAGGGAAGTATAAAAAAATAAATAAGACCGCATACAAGACGATCTTTTTTATTATTGTTAGAAATTACAGTAAGTTATACTACACATTGGTTACATTTTTACTGTGCCTTAGTTTTTAAATCAGAGTTTTTAAAGTAAATCTAGTGTTTAACAGTTATTTGTTTTGTTACTAGTGTAAACTCAACCTCAAATAAAAACTTTACTTTCATATTTTCAAAAATTTTAAATGTCCAATTTTTTTCGAAGAATTGAATTATTTATCATATTAATTTATGTTTGATATCGATATCAGCTACGCCGATATGCGTATTAGTATTATGATTATGTCGTATATATTATGTATGCCAACTGATAAGGTGAATTTAATATGCATATAAAACCACTCTACTCCACGTAACTACATTCTTATTTATCAGCGTTTGTAAATTTTTTTTTTTTATTCAAAATTTCTACTAGATTATTACATCCACAGAATAAAATATACATATACAAAATATATCTGCAAGATTTGGTACAGTTTTCTATGTATATAGGAAATAGGAAAATTCTTCAGATACACTCTGTATATATGATTATACGAGTATATGATGAGAATAATAAAATACGTGACACGTGTACACTGTACACACATTACTACGGTTCTCGTTAAGATTTATGACGACTGAATTCAAATATTTGGATTATTTGGAGTCATATTATACCTACTCGGACATGTAGACGGAATATTATAATATTATTGTGGCGTCTTACCACTCGAAACCGTTCAGTTGTTTAATTATGATCATAATAAAAGGAGGACAAATAATCAACTCAATTGTGTCGAGTTGAATAATAAATGAAAAAAAAAATCATACGGAAAAAGGTTGGTGAAAAAATAAATTTCGTTTATCGAGTTCAAATCAAAAAGACAAAATATTACGTTTATTATTTATTATTATATTAGATAGTTCCGTGAGTTAACATGGATACCCAAATGTGGAGAAATGCATTTAGATAAAATAATTTGGAAAATACAATAGAAAATTAGAATTTTTGATTAAAAAATAAAAGGATAGAATATTATTATTGGTTATTATTTTATGATTTAATATAGTTTAGAAAGATTTATAATATTACTTTAAAATAAAATTAATTAATCGCAATAATGTGTATGATTTTTAATTGAAATATTAATTCATTTTTCCTCCCCTTGATTTTTTGCCCTGTGAGCGTGCTTACTCATGTATGCTCTTTTGTTATGTATCATAACAGGATAATATATCAAAAATGATAATATTTATAAGTGTTTTTTAATTGCTATAATAACTCTCAAATACATTTTGTTGCAATAATACCTAAAGATACAAATTCCCGTGTTATTATTTTGTTTTAAGAGTACTTCGAATAAATAATAATATGTCTACGATGGCCAATTGAACATCGATTTAATTTAATCCGCATTTTTAAAATACCGTTATTAAATCAAAACTGATTAGAGTAATAACATTGTTTTCCTATAAATCGAAAGTCGTTTTAAAAAATAAAAAAAAATAGGCAGCAATTTATTATATTAATAACGGGTCGGGACGTATTATCAATAATAATAATACATACCAAACTTGTACACTGCGCAATAAATCTGCTGCGATCAGTGTTGTTGTTTATCTAGATCCGTTATCTATTGATAGAGTAGGTATTATTTATTACTTTATAAGTTAGGCATATTTGTATATTTTATCTCATCTATAAATCAATTAAAAATAAGTTATCTGAGAAAATTGTTGAATCAACTAGATAAATGTATCTTTTTAGATTGAAATGTATACATTTATTAGATATAAGGGGTAAAAACTGATTTAATTTATATCAATAGTGTAGTTTAGTCAATAAATTACTATTAAGGTTTATCAATTGCACAACTTTTTTGAAATTTATATATGTACTCAATCTGGTACATTTTTTAACGCTTAGTCTTATGGCTGTTATATTTATCTAAATATTTTAAATATATTTTTATATAGTACTCTGGTTAGGCCAGTTACAATGTTTTAATTTTCCAATAAACTCCGATACGTAAACACAATTTTTTCGTTTTTTAATTTTTTATAATATAACAACAGATAATTTTTCGTCGTTTAAAGTATGATGGTCGGCAAACCTCTGACAACTTTATATGATTAGGTAAAGTCGAATTAGCACAAAAAAAAAAAAGTAAATAAATAAAATAAAAGGTAATCTGCGGGATTTGCACTAATATAATCTGTTGCAAATTGAGCATTCAAACAATAAATAAACCGAAATAATGACCAAAATCATATGTCATAATTGGTAACATAAGTTTACTCTGTTAAAAATTGCATGTGATTTTCGACGTCGGAAGTAT